CCTAGTGAGCTCTGTTTCCAGCTGCGACAGCCTCCTGCAACCCTCTGTCAGCGAAAATGGAGCTCGGGGGGGGAACGTCCCTCCCCTCCCGAGTTGTTTTCACCGGCATCATAGGCCGGTCCTTCGCTGTTTCCAAGGCAGCCCCACGGGCCAGATCTAAGCACCCCGCAGGCCGGATCCAGCCCCCGGGCCTTGAGTTTGACACTCCTGGCATAGAATGTATAATGTAGTGTCTCTCTAAATGTGTATATTTTATTTGGGTGAGATACCATCAGTACGCTGATGATACTCAGCTGTACATCTCCACCCCAGGCCACCCCAATGATGCCCTTGAAGTGATGTCCCAGTGCCTGGAGGCTGTACGGATCTGGATGGGGAGGAACAGGCTCAAGCTCAACCCTTCCAAGACTGAGTGGCTGTGGTTCCCGGCATCCCGATATAGTCAGTTGACTCCATCACTGACTATTGGGGGCGAGTCTTTGGCCCCCACAGAGAGGGCTCGCAATCTGGGAGTCCTCCTGGATACGCAGCTGTCCTTGGAGGAACATCTGACGGCTGTAACCAGGGGGACCTTTTATCAGGTTCGCCTGATCCGCCAGTTGCGGCCCTTTCTTGATCGGGATTCCCTGTGCACAGTCACTCATGCCCTCGTGACCTCTCGCCTTGATTACTGTAACGCTCTCTACATGGGGCTCCCCTTGAAGAGCACCCGGAGGCTCCAACTGGTCCAGAACGCAACAGCGCGGGTAGTGACGGGAGCAGCATGGCGCTCCCATGTAACACCGCTCCTGCGCGAGCTGCACTGGCTCCCAGTGGTCTTCCGGGTGAGCTTCAAGGTGTTGGTTATCACCTTTAAAGCGCTCCATGGCATAGGGCCTAGCTATCTCCGAGACCGCCTGCTGCCACCGACAACCTCCCATCGACCCGTGCGCTCCCACAGAGAGGGCCTCCTCGGGGTGCCATCAGCCAAACAATGCAGGCTGGTGACCCCCAGGGGGAGGGCCTTCTCTGTGGGGGCACCCACCCTCTGGAATCAGTTGCCCCCTGAGATAAGGAGAATCCATGACCTCAGTGCCTTCTGCCGTGCCCTTAAAACCTTCCTTTTCCAACAAGCCGGGCTGGCCTAATTCTTTTTAAGTGTTTTTAATTGTTTTGTTTATTGTTTTAATTAATGGGGCCAAATTTATATATATATTTTTAACTGTATTTTAATATTTGTATTTGATGTTTTTATTTGGCTGTTCACCGCCCTGAGTCCTCAGGGAGAAGGGCGGTATACAAATTCAAAAATAAAAATAAAAATAAATAAAATATTTGGCCATCCATCTTACATATGAATTGTAGATTGCTAGCAACAAATATTTTAAAAACACTATATTAAATTAAAGTTTTCTGAATAGTTTTTATCCCAGTGCTATAATTGCACCCAACAATGACCTAAAGGGTCACCATCAGTGAGATGTTGGACAGCATTACTTGCTCTGTTGTGTGGATGCTTGGGTGGTTTTAGGGGGTGGGGAATTTTTGGTGGGTGGGAGGGTGTCTGGGGATTGTCATGTGAGTTGGGTCTGGTCTCTGGGTGTTATGTGAATTTCGTTGTATGGATATACTGTGTATACACGTACAATGATAATAAACTTGATAGTACAGTGGTTTAGTGCACCCTGTTATTAACACAGCTGCCTGTAATTTCTGCTGGTTCGAATCTCTCCAAGGCTCAAGGTTGACTCAGCCTTCCATCCTTTCTAAGGTAGGTGAAATGCGGACCCAGTTTGTGGGGGCAATAAGCTGACTTTGTATAAAATATACAAAAGAATGAAGGCTATTGCTTAACGCATTGTAAGCCGCCCTGAGTCTCCGGAGAAGGGCGGCATATAAATCAAATTAAAAAAAACCAAAACTTTATTTTATTATTTTATTTATTTATTTAAAAAAGAATTAAAGCCTTGGTGATGCAGTGGACTAAAGTGCTATTAAGTAGCACTTAACTGCCAGCTGCCTGCAATTACTGCAGTTCAAATCTCACCAGGCTCAAGGTTGACTCAGCCTTCCATCCTTCCGAGGTAGGTAAAATGAGGACCCGGATTGTGGGGGCAATAAGCGGACTTTGTATAAAAAAGAACACCGCTTGGGGGGGCCCGAAAGCCCTACTAAGCACGTATATACAAAAGTATGAAAGCTATTGCTTAACGCATTGTAAGCCACCCTGAGTCTCCGGAGAAGGGCGGCATATAAATCGAACCAATAAATAAATAAATAATAAATTTATCAGGCCAGTAATCCTCAACTTACATCTGGTCACTTTGAAGTTATGATGGACCTCCCCAGGGATTCGGTTTTGATAGCCGCTTCCCCTGCAATCATGATTTAGCACATTGCTTAACAATGTAATTGTAAGCCGCCCTGAGTCTCCGGAGAAGGGCGGCATATAAATCAAATTAAAAATCAAATTAAATTAAAATATGACTATTTTGGGCACTCAGCAGTTAGCACCCCACAAATATGACTACATTTTAAGACGTTTTTGCCAAAAACTATCATATACTTTTGGGTTTTGGCTAAACTGGCCCACAGTGAACGATGCCTGTGCAAAAAAGGGTTATGAAATCGGATCAGTCATGTGGGTGACCTGTTTTATCACCGTCATGACTTACAATCTTGGGATGTAGGACCCAAACCATTCCTAGACAGTATTGGGTTCATCTAACATCCTGGCAAGGGCCTGTGGGGGAAAGCCAAATATTTGGAGTTTCCAATCCAAGAGTATTGGAACCCACTGGATTTTATAGAGGAGGCTGTTCCATAATCTATTTTGATATTCTGCTGTTCTTGGTACTGTACTGGGTTGAATAACATCCTAAGCTTTAGCCTGGTATAAAAGGAATAGTAGCTGAAGAGCCTTCAGTGAGGAGGAACAGAAAAATTCCTGGACTCACCTGTTCCATTGATTGTCAGCTCTCAGTTTAAAAAATGTTCCTCATAAGAACAGAGTTGGAAGGGACCTTGGAGGTCTTCTAGTCCAAACCTTACTCAGGCAGGAGAACCTATACTAGGGGTGTCAAACTCAAATCTTTATGGTGTATTGGGACTTTTTTGTCCTTCACTAAACTGGGTGTCGGCATGGCCAGCGCGTAACGCATCCGGCGGGCTGGGAGTTTAACAGCCCTGCTCTATACCATTCTGGACAAATGACTATCCAATTGAACATGAATTGACTCACCTGCATTTTCAACATGCCTGTTGTGGTATTCTTGTCCAGGTATTGGAGAACAAGTCCCCTTGTTCTCTTATAAGGCAACTCTTCAGATATTTGAAGAGTGCCATCATATTTTTCATTAAGTCAATTCTTCTGCACTAAGCACACCTAATTCACTTAGCGTCCCTCATAAGATTCAATAATCAGTCTTGTCACCAGCTTGATATAGTACTTCTCTGAATTTGGTTCCAGTTCGTCATATCTTCAGTTTGCAGTGCCCAGAATTTGGTTGCACTATTTCAAGTGGGACCCAGTCAAAGCAGAATGCAGAGGGACACCCCCAAACTCAATCTTATATTACACTATTGCACAAATCCAACTCCTGAAAAGTTTTCAGAATATGGGATTAAATCATAGATTGGAAATATACAATAGTGATGAAGGAGATATCTCTGTTTTCATGTAATCTTTTCTTCTTTCCACTATATAGCAATATTTCTCAACCTTGACATGCTGGCAGTGGAATTCTGGGAGTTGAAGCCCACACATCTTAAAGTTGCCAAGGTTGAGAAACACTGCTCTAATGTCAACTTTCTCCTTTTACAACAGCTCTTCTAAATACAGTCCCATTTTTCTCAATTTTGTTAGAAAACTAATATAAAAGGTAAGCACTAGAAAGATGTGGGTACCATAATTATGGCCATGTAATAGGAAAGAGGGGGAAAGTGTTCATTAAGAGGAAGTCAATATAAATCCCACTCTTTTGGCTCCACTCTTTAATTTGCCAACTCCATCCCCTAGAATTAGAGGCATCAATTTAAAGGTGATTCAGCTGTTTTGAGTGTTTAAAACACTCACCCCAGCATCAAATGTAACCTCATTTTGCCAAAGCATAGATGACAGCTCACGAATACTTTCAAGAAGAAAGGAAACTTTCTGGCATTTATTTTCTGTGTGCCGAATGATCAGATGTCCAGCTGGGAGTAGATATTGGTAACCTAGCAGTTCAGATGCTAGGCTTGTCAATCAGAAGGCTGGCAGTTCAAGACCCAAGCACCGCATGATGGGATGAGCTTCCGTTACTTGGCCCAGTTCCTACCCACCTAGCAGTTCGAAAATAGAATAGAATAGAATAGAATAGAATAGAATAGAATAGAATAGAATAGAATAGAATAGAATAGAATAGAATAACAGAGTTGGAAGGGACCTTGGAGGTCTTCTAGTCCAACCCCCGCTTAGGCAGGAAACTCTAGCATTTCAGACAAATGGTTATCCAACATCTTCTTAAAAACTTCCACTGTTAGAGAATTCACAACTTCTGGAGGCAAGTTGTTCCACTGATTAATTGTTCTAACTGTCGGGAAATTTCTCCTTAGTTCTAAGTTGTTTCTCTCCTTGATTAGTTTCCACCCATTGCTTCTTGCCCTGACCTCAGGTGCTTTGGAGAATAGCTTGACTCCCTTTTCTTTGTGGCAGCCCCTGAGATATTGGAACACTACAATCATGTCTCCTCCAGTCCTTCTTTTCATTAAACTAGACATACCCAACTCCAGCAACCGTTCTTTATATGTTTTAGCCTCCAGTCCCCTAATCATCTTTGTTGCTCTTCTCTGCACTCTTTCTAGAGTCTAGAAAACATGCAAATGTGAGTAGATAAATAGGTACCACTTCAGTGGAAAAGTAACAGCACTCCGTGTGCCTTGGTGTATAGCCATTCTGGCCACATGACCACAGAAATGTCCCTGGACAACACGGGTTCCTACAGCGAAAATGAGACAAGCACCTCTCCCTAGAGTCCGACAACAACTGGACAGGAGAAACCTTTATTCATCAGTAAAAAGAAAAATTAAATTATGGTGATACTCCATCAGCAAATGCTATTGAATAGCACTGCCCCTTTCTTAAGAAGAGTGCATTTTGCAAGATTATTTTCTTTTATATCAAAGTCTCCAAAAGCACCAGTGAAGGAAGTGCAGAGGCAAATTCAAAGGAGTATTGGGTCTCCATAAGCACACTCATCTTCCAAAGCCAAGTTGTAGTATTTTCCTTCTCCATCTTTATATGCACTGGTCACGATCCGAAGCCAGCCACGTTCTCCCTGAAAGACATTAAGTTGCACCCATTCATGGAAGAGCATTAAGTTCTTGTGTTAAGGTGGCAGCCCAAAAATATTTCAAATCATGAGCTGCGTGTAAGATAAAATAGAGCAGTTGGGTATGAGGTATAAAATTACATCTAATCAAGAAGTAACTTTTCCTACACCGCAATAATGAAATAACATAACCACAATTGGGATCAGAATTTCTGTTGTTAAATGAGTCACTCTGATTTTACAACCTTTTTGCCACAAGTCTATTAAGCCAATCACTGTAGTTGTTAAATGAATCATGCAGTCATTAAGGGAATCCAGTTTCCCCTATTGACCCTGCTTGTCAGAAGCCATCTGAGAAGATCACAGGATTATCTGACCCAGAAACTGCAACCATTGTAAATAAATACTGGTTGCCCAAATCACATGACCATGGGGGATGCTGTGATGGCCATTAGTGTGAAAATTGGTTGTAATTTTAGTGCCATTGTAACTTTGAATGCACTAAATGTATAATTGTAAGTTGAGGACTATCCATAAAGATTTACCATATTTTCGTACTATAAGACGCACCGGATTATAAAACACACCAAGATTTGGAAGAAGAAAATAAGAAGAAAAAAAAAGTTTTTCCTCTCCGGCCCCCAGGAGCACCCTGCAGGCCTCCCAAACCATCCACGCATCCCGTTGTTCACAAAAACGGGGCATGCAGAGCAGGGGTGGGTTCTAAAAATTTTTACTACTGGTTCTATGGGCATGGCTTATTTTGTGGGCGTGGCTTGGTGGGGGGGTAATGTGACTGGGTGGGCGTGGCCAACTTTATTTTTTTTACTTTTAAAAGCATTTTTCCTACAACATTAAGAGGTTGCAGAAAAAAATGCTTTTAGGAGCCTCTGACGATCCCAGCTGAGTTGCACGATCATCAGAGGCTTTTTTTTTACTCTTTTAAAAAAGCATTTTTTCGGCCGAAGCGGTTGTAGAAAAAAATGTTTTTTAAAAAAAAAAGCCTCTGATGAGGTAGGCGGGGTAAGCGAGCGGCGACCAGGCCAAGGACCGGTTCAGGGGAGTGGCCAGCCAATGTTATTACCAGTTCTTAGAACTACTACAAATTTTTACTACCGGTTCTTGCGAACCGGTGTGAACCAGGAGCAACCCACCACTGATGCAGAGCGTTTGGAAAGCCTGCAGAGTGCTCCTGGGGGCTGGGGAAGGCAAAAATGTTACTCGTGGGGGGGTTTGGGAGGCCAAAAGAAAATGGGCCCAATTTTGGCCTCCCAAACCCCCCACGTGTCGCATTCGTGCCCTCCCCAGCCCCAGGAGCACCGTGCAGGCCTCCCAAACCCTCTGCATGCCTCGTTTTTGTGAAAAACAGGCCTGTTTTTGGCAAAAATGGGACATATGGGGCGGGGTTTTGGGAGGCAAAAAATGGCTATATTCAGTGTATAAGACACACCAACATTTCCACCCTCTTTTGGGGGGGGGAGTGCGTCTTATACTCCAAAAAGTACGGTAACTAAACCCTGCCCCTATGTAACTTGTTGGTACATTTCACAGCTGGAACTCTCATAGCCTGCTATACCAAGCAGGGAACTTTGCCCATTCAGCTAGATCTTTAAAAAGAAATAATATAGATTGATGTATCCTGTCTTCCTTACCCAGGGATCTCCCCAAGAATTCCGAACAATCCAATACTCTGTTCCATTTTCTATCCCCCAACCAGCAACAGAGACAATATGGTTTATCATAGGCAAGATACTGAATTCTTCATACAGGCCTCCAGTGTACGCATCCAGTTTGGAAGTGGCCATGATCCCACAACTAAGTAAAAACAAAAAGCAAGAAATAAAACCTTCAGGATGAAAACTACTGAAACAAGCAGCTTTAGACAACATCGTGAAGAGAAGGACCACTCTCTCTCAACCACAAAGCCTGATTTTGGTCAGATTTAGTGAGAGGCTGTGTAGTGCAGCAACTCGGGTGTCAGGTTACTTTAAGGTTTAAGTCCATCCTTAGCCATGGGAACTCAGATGCTGGATCTTTGCAAGAAGGGGAAAAAAATAGACTTGAAGAAGTTGGGTTTGTCACTGGAGAACAATATGGACCTGTCCTTACAGTTTTCTTGACAATAACACAGAAAAGGTTTCTTCCACAATGGTTTTATTCTTTCCAACTTGTTGGGATGTTTGAAAGAAAATACATAAAAAGATTCCCTCTATTAGCAGGATAACTCTTGAAAAACTGATCAAAACTGGACCATGTTCAGTGTGACTCACCTTAGGCAGAAAGCCAGCTGGGTGACCTTGGGTCAATCCCTCTCTCTCAGCCCCAGAGACAGGGGTGGGCTGCTGGGGGGGACCTGCAGGGGGAACCTGCGAACCCCCAGCAGGGAGAACCTCTAACTAGAATTCTGTGTAGTTCGGAGAACCCCCAAATCCTACTCCTGGCTGGCCCTGCCCACCCTGCCCCTCCCCTTCCAGGAGTCCCCATGCGGCCCATTTTGGATGCAGGTTAGTGCAGGACGCGCACAGAGGCTCGGAGAGGGCAAAAAACGGGTCTACCAGAAGTTCAGGAAGGCCTCCAGAGGGCCTCTGGAGCCTGGGGAGGCTGTTTTCGCCCTCCTGGAGGCTCAAGGAAAGCTTCCGGCGCCTGGGGAGGCCAAAAACGCCTCCCCCCCCACATCGTGGGGCAGGAGGCTGACTAGGCCACACCCACCATGCTCACATCCACCCAGCAACTGGGCAGAGAACCCCTTGCTAAAATTTTTGAAGCCCACCCCTGCCCAGAGAGCAGGCAATGGCAAACCACTTCTGAAATCTTGCCAAGAAAAGTGCAGGGACTAATCCAGGCAGTCTCCAGCAATCAACACTTATCCAAAGGCATCCCATACAAAAAATTATAATAGATCAACTGAAAAACTCTATTACGTGCAGGCTTCTGTACCTAGTTCAGTGTTTTTCAACCTTGAAGTTTAAGATGTGTGGACTTCAACTCACAGAGTTCCCCAGCCATCCTATCTTAAACTTGTGAAGGTGTGAGAAACACTGACCTTGAGATTTAGCATAAAGCTTTCATTGCGTTACCTGATGGGTCCATTTGCATAGATTTCTGCCATCATTTTCTCTCGACCGCTGAGAGTTCCATAATCTCCCACTTTCCAGAGGGTGTAATTTTTTATTACGTGGCATTCCCCGAAGGTAGTACACGTTCCACATTGGTTAAATTTCTTGCACTCTGTGAAAACCAAAAAGAATTTTGGTACCAGAAAATTGCCTTTCTCCCTCAAAGATGAGAACAATGAAATGCTGTCCTGCTTGTTGTACCTGAGGTAGTGATTTTTCATCCAGGAATCACCTCCTATTTGGCTTCAAAAGGAATCAGCCCCCCACCCCCTATTGAAAGTGACAAATATAAATATAACAAATAAATAGTTTCATGTAAAAAGCTAAAAACTGATGAGGGCCAGTTTGGTGCAGTGGTCAAGGCATTAGACTAGAAACTGGGAGATCTTGCGTTCTAGTCCTACTTTAGGCACAAAGTGAGCTGGATGTCACCTCTCTCTCAGCCCTAGGAAGAAGGCTGCAATGGCAAAGCACTTCCAATATTCTAGAAAATTGCAGAATTTATTCAAGTAGTTCTCAGGACATATATTTAAATCTGTCTGTCTGTCTATCATCTATATCTATCTATCTATCTATCTATCTATCTATCTATCTATCTATCTATCTATCTATCTATCTATCTATCTATCTATCTATCTATCTAGCTAGCTAGCTATCTAGCTAGCTAGCTATCATCTCTCTCTATATATATATCTATATATATCTATCATGAGCCACGGTGGCACAGTGGTCAGAGTGCAGTACTGCAGGCTACTTCTGCTGCCTGCTGGCTGCCTGCAATTTGGCAGTTCAAATCTCACCGGCTCAAGGTTGACTCAGCCTTCCATCCTTCCGAGGTGGGTAAAATGAGATTGTTGAGGGCAATAGGCTGACTCTGTAAACCGCTTAGAGAGGGCTCTAAAAGCACTGTGAAGCAGTATATAAGTCTAAGTGCTATTGCTATTGCTATCTGTCTGTCTATATCATCTATCAATCATCTCTGAATAAAAGGGATTAAAGGGTTGTTATATATATATATTGTTACAAATACATATATATTTGTTATATAATATATATATATATTTGTTATATATAATATATATATATAATATATACCGGTATAATATATATTTTATTTGGGGTGGAGTCAGGGAGTGGAGTCAGATTGAGCTGAAAGTTTCCTGGCCAGATGCTCTTCCTGACATCTAGGTGGAGTTCACAGCAGATATCTTTTCTTTAAATATATATTTAACTATATATAGCTATCAGAGCTCTATCTGAATAAAACAAGAAAATATATTTTTCTTAAATACTCTATGGAAATGATCTCTATATACCTGCACCAGATGTTGTTGATGTAGGCTGGAAATTTGTCTAAAATTTCTAAATGTTATCCTGAATCCTTTTTTTTTTTGTTAGATGTATATCCTATTTTGTGCATCCCAAGGCACCGGGCATACCAAATACTCCTACCTCCTATATTCCCAACAACAACCACCCCATTAGGTGGGTTGAGCTGAAAGTGACTGGCCTAAAGTCACCCAGCTGCTTCCAGGCCTAAGGGAAAACTAGCACTCCGGGTGTCCTGGTTTCTAATCTAGCACCTTAATCTCTACATCAAACTGGTGGGAGAAAGCTATTCCACAGATACTTCCAAGAGTATCATGACTGATCATGACTCAGAAAGCTTGGTAGCTATGATACATCTAAAAAACGTGGAGACCTTTGGTATCATAGAAACCTCCCCTATTCTTTCTAACCACCTTGCAATGGAGGGCTACATCAAAGCTTCTATGGGTGAGATGGAGATGAAGGCCCCTTGGAGCTGACTCCTATCTGCAGAACTTCACATTAACACATGGAGATCCAAGGATGGAGATGCAGAGGTGAGCAAATGTTCAAGTTGCAACAGGAGAGGGTTAGGGTCAGGGCTGCCCCATGCTCTCACTTTGATCTTTTGCCTGGTAGTTGTTGCAGGTCTCATCAGGGATGCCATGCTGGTGAGCATACGCCCATACGCCTACGTGGTCTCCACCGTGACAGGTCCCTGCTTGGGCGCAGTCAATGACATTCTGAACGGAGAGGTAAGCAGAAGGCCAGGTGCCTTTCTTCTTGATGTTGATGCGATCTGAGAGAAAAGGAGCAGATGGTTGGTGAATGACATGAGTTGGGGCCTTCAGCATTCTGGACGTTGAGGGGTGCTTTCTTCTGGGGAAAAAGGGAACAGCCAGCCTTTGGGGGATAAGGGGCCCATTTTGTCTTTGAAACTGTGTCCGGGTGGATTTCCAAGGTAATGATCAGTGGTGAAATCTAAAATTTGTTACTACCGGTTCTGTGGACGTGGCTTGGTGGTGGTGGGTAATGTGACTGGGTGGGCATGGCCAATTTTTTTTTTTTTTTACTTTTAAAACCATTTTTTCTACAACCTCTTCGGTGAAGAGGTTGTAAAAAAATGCTTTCAAAAGTCTCTGACGATCCCAGCTGAGTTGCCTGATCGTAGGAGGGCTTTTTAAAAAGCCTCTGCCGATCAGACAACTCAGCTTGGATCATCAGAGCTTGGATCGTCAGAGGCATTTAAAAGAAAAAAAGCCTCTGATGATCACGCCGCTCAGTGGGCATGCGGGGGGGGGGGCAGGGATTTTTGCTACCGGTTCTCCAAACCACCCGCCTCCATCGCTACCGGATCGGGTGATCCGGTCCGAACCGGGAGCATTTCACCCCTGGTAATGATCCCAATGACATCCTCCCATGGGATACTTTTACTTTCTAAGAACAATGCTGGGCCACTGTTATGGAACCATTCCCATGATGGCAGGCCTAGAAAGGGACCAAATATTCACCTGTCTGATCAAAGCCCCCTCCCCCCCCTTTTTTTTACAAGAGGTAGGACTTCAATCAAGCACTTGCAACCATCATTTTGACTTTTTCAAAATTCTCCTCTTGGCTACTTCTTAGTAAAGAATTGCAGGTAGTCCTCGAGTTATGACTGTGTGATAAGTAATAATGGATCCACAAAAAAGTACTTATTACCCGGATTTGAAGTTCCAATGTCCACCCCACCCCACCCGTGTGGGCATATGATTGCATTTTAGGTGTTTGGAAACCAGCCTGCCTTTATAGCCATTTGCAGCGTCCCACAGATTTACAATGGGCCACCATTTGCAATGTGTCATGGCTGCAGTTCAGCTTCTAGCTTCACATTGCATCTTGCCAGCCTGACTTTTGAGCTGGGGGTGGTGGTGGGAGGGGAAGAGATTGGAATGTGGGGGAAGGACAGGGGTGGAGGTGGGAATGAAGTCGTGCTGGCCCTGATGGTGAGTCGAACCAATCCAGCACAAGGTCTGTCGTGGCTCCATCGGAGGAAGAGCTGGAAGTAGACCATCCAAAAGGGGTAGGACGTCTCCCTTGGCATGTTTGGAGAGGCCAGGGGCTGAGGACGATGCTGTCCTGGGTCCCTTAGGCATTGGGGGAGGTGGTTGACCAGACGGAGAGCTGCCTGCCTTCACAGATACAGGGGAGGATGGGCTGCTGACAGGCAGTGGTACTGATAGGCAGGGGATCTCCTCTGATGAGGAGCAGCTGCCTCCTCCACTGATCCAAGGGCAAGGACAGCAGAGCTTAGGCAAGGCTATTCAGGAGGAGGTTGCCCCATCCCTCCTCACAGGGAACAGCTGGGATGGAGTAACTTAAGGAGAAGCCGTGGGGAGTTAGTCTTTGCCTCTGCTGATCAGGCAACTCAGCTGGGATCATCAGAGCCTTTTGAAAGCATTTTTTTACAACCTCTTCGCCAAGCTAGTCATAGATCAGTAGTGGGTTCCACTTCTCTACCAGTTCAGAACCAGGAGTGTGCGTGCGTGCGCTCTCGTCTCGCTTGCTCGCGGTCCTTTCTGCCCATGCACAAGGCATCCGTGATGACTTCCGGCAGGTGGGTGGAGCCTCCCACCACCGCCAATACCGGTTCGCCCAAACCGCGGTGAACTGGTAGAAACCCACCACTGCCACAGACCCAAAGCTGCATATCCCTGTTCCTACTCCATAACAGGCACTGATAAACCCCATCCCGGATTACAACAGTTACCTTTGAATCAAACAGAATTCACCTCTTCAGACTAGGCTTGGGGAAAGTTTATACAAATGGGAGAGCAGGTGGAAATTGGGAGCAGGCTTAAGGGAACAGAAAGATATAGGAGAAGGAATGGCAGAAAAGGGAGTGGAATCAAAAGAGGAATCGGTTTAGAATCTCTACGTAGTCATAAACAGACTAAGACCAACCCCTCTTCAACTCCGTTGACCTTTTATCTTACACCAACGTAGTGCTATTAGTTGAGTAGTTTCTTGTGCATAGGGATGTTGAGTAATACATTAATTTAATTGGAACTTTACATGTGGTTTTGATCTTTCACCCTGACAAAAGTCAATTTGGGAGCCAACCCACAGAGAAAAGCACTATTGACTAAGGTTAAACTATAATAGACAGGAAGGGAGCCTCCATATTCAGGCACAGTGTATCTTTATAAGGGAGAAGACAAGCACAGCATAGAACCACCACCTACCTGCTAGAGCACTGGTGCTGCCGTGAGCCCAGCAAGATCCACAGTATTGGGGAATGTGTTGGTTTCGAGTTGCGCTCGCATAATTGACTCCATCTCTATTTCTCCAATCCCAACTCTTGGGCAGTTTTGAGATCTCCAAATATTCATGAGGACGAGGATAGGTTCTGTTAAGAGGAAAGATGAGAATGTCAGAAGGGAGAACCAACTGATACTTTTTTTCCCCATTTTGGGTGGGGCAAAGGGGAATAACGCATTTTACCATTGCTGGAAGATTTTACTCATTTTTCCACTTAGCTGGCCATTGTGTTTAAGCTTCTCGTGATTCTATTGTCTTCCAGACATGCAAGCCAATAACAAAAGCTACAAAATGTATGGGGAAGTTACTCAAAAGAGAAAAGTATCAAAGACCAAGATGTGACACCAAAAAGTGTGCATTTTGTGAAAAAGCAAAAAGCAAACTGAGTCAAACAGGGCCAGCAGCAGGCACAGACAGGAAGCTCTGGTCGCCCCATTTACTATCAATAATGAAATTACACTTTATCATCATCATCTTATGACTGCACTTATGTCAGTGGTGATGGTGAGGACACCTCAACCTTCAGGCACAGAAATGAACAATTCTTTTTTAGACCTTTTGAAAGCCAGAATTTTCTGGCATCAACCAGGATCTTTACGAGGACCAGGCATGATAAGTGACCTAAATGATAATGTTGGGAGCCAATTTTGGGCCAGCTTCTTCTGAGAACTTCAGCATGAGGTCCAGGATCTCCCCAATGTTTGTGCTGTAAGAAAATGCTCTCTGAGACCCATCAGCTGGAAGCAGCCCATGGATACCGGAACTTGTTTATAGGGCACTTTGGTTTAACAAGATCAGGCAGGCTATTTAATCCTGGTGGAAGAGAAGATATCCTGGTTGTCCAAGAAAGCAAACAAATGGATCATAGGACAAATCAATTTAGGGTTCTCACTTGAGTAAGAAACGACAGACTCAAGCTATCATATCTTGAACAACTGGCTCTTTTCAGAAGTCCATAACACTGGGGAAAATGGAGGGGAAGAGTTAAAGATGACAACCAGCAGCAAAACCGATGGTGATCGCAGAGAAGATGCATTGTTGGAAGATCTGAAAGGCCAAGCTGGACACAGAATATCCTGAAGAAGGTTCATCCATGTGGTCACCAAGAGTTGACCCTGACTTGATAACACATAATCCTATCAAGTAGCAGATAAGGAGGAATGCCTGACTTTGTTTACTGTGAGTCACAATCTTATGTCCTAAACAGAAAAAGAATGGAGGTCAGAGAGGTCATTAGATAATGAAAAGGTGGAAAATGAATCCTATCTCAGAAGAGGAGGGAGGGAGCTATTCCTTACTCAAAGCAGAAAGGCGGATTCCCTTCTCAATGATGAAAGGGGACAAATGTTAAGTACCATATTTGGGAACATCCGTTATGTTGAATTCCTTGATATTTGACACATATTCTATAGTATTGTGATGGCGAACCTATAGCATGTGTGCCAGAGGTGCCATGCAGAGCCCTCTCTGTGCCAACTGCTCTTCTGGTTTCCTGTGCACATGTGGTCTTCGCACGTGCTGGGGCACCCAAAAAATGCCCCAAAACCAGGCCTTTTTCTGGGCCTTTTTCAGGCCATTTTTGGCCCCAAAAAAACAGCCTGAAAACGGCTGTGAAAAGGGCCCAAAATGCATGCATCAGCCAGCTGGTCTTCAGGTTTCCGGCGTGCTGGCATGAACCCATACATACGCATGCATGCGTGTGGGTGTGTACCAGTTTGGGCACTCAGTGCCGAAAAGTTTCGCCATCACTGCTATAGTAGGACTTCTGCTGATGTGCTGAGACACACAAAATTAATTTATGAACCCAAGCATAAACACCCACCCTGTTCTCTGAATGTATTTAATGATGCTGATCATTAAATGTGGACATCATATCTAAGGAACTAAATAACTAGTCTATTCATTTGAACCATCTGAGCAGAGCAGAGCTGAGCAGAACAACAGAAATCGCTGCATGGGAGAATTTCCATGAGGAAATTCCAGGACTCAAGGCTATACTGACCACAGTTGGGGGCGACAACTAGGTCGTTAAGGGAAGTGGTCGCTAAGTGAAACCACAACTGTGCTTATGGTCTGACTTCCGCTTTCCTTTGGGTCACAGACCCTTGAAGGTGACAAATGTGAGGATTGGTTGCAAAATGACTTTTTCATCACTGCAAATAGTCACTAAATGAGACAATCACTAAACGAGGAATTTCTGAATTAGGAAGATTTTTTTTTTAAGGCATCTTGCAAGCAGAGAATTGGAAAGTGCTTTTAAAGGTGCCACAAAAACCACACGGATGTGCCAACATAGCCCATTGTTTTTCATCTGTTTATTTTGCTTTATTTTTAACCAATATCATTTTACAAATCTCCTCTTCCTCCATGTATTTTCCCCTTCCCCACCATCCTTTAATGTTTCCCAGGCTCAGATAGCACCTATGTCATTTCAGGAAGCCTCCTTGAGTAAAAAATTAAACAGCCTTTCCAAGATCGCAGCTGGGGGTTGAAAAATCCTAAATGCTGCTGGATTGGATCCTTGAAGGAGGAGACCAAATCCCACAACGCCTCTTGCCTTGCTCTGACACCCATTTCACCAAACCGCTTTCAGATTCGTTCCACAGCTGTCATCAAACGGTTTCCCCTTCTGCCGATTAATGCACCTCTACTTAAAAATAAGCACAATTGGACTTGGAAAAGCTGAATTCGCACCCAAGATGCTTTGATTCGGGTTGCCGCGCTTGCACAAAACGAAGCACTGGGATGCAACCAATGGCGGAGTTCACCCAGCACAGAGGTCTGCAACCTTAAACACTCAAAGAGCCATTTGGATCAGTTTCCCACAGAAAAGAAAACAGCAGGAGCCACAAAACCTGGGTGGGCGTGGCCAACTCGAGGTCACTCACTTCCACCAGTCACATGACCCACCCACCCCAAGCCACGCCTACCGAGCCAGTCATTAGGGCAGAGAACTGATTGTTAAAAAACACCAGGAACCACAAAACCCTTTTGACATCTCTTTCTCCCTTCTCTCTCTCCCAGGGGGAGAGCCTTCTCTGTGGGGGCACCTACTATCTGGAATGAGCTCCTCCCCCCAGAGATATGGAGGATCCTGGATCTACGCACCTTCCGCCGTGCTCTCAAGACCTTTTTATTCCACCAGGCGGGCCTGGCCTAATCTTTTTCCCCTTTTTCTCTTTTAATACGTAAATTTTAATCTGTTTTTAAATGATTGGGGTGTTTTAAATCTGTCTGGGCCAATTTTTTTTTTTTAATTTGATTTATATGCCGCCCTTCTCCGCAGACTCAGGGCGGCTTACAATGTGCTAAGCAATAGCCTTCATTCTTTTGTATATTTATACAGTCAGCTTATTGCCCCCACAACTGGGTCCTCAATTTACCTACCTTAGAAAGGATGGAAGGCTGAGTCAACCTTGAGCCTTGGCGAGATTCGAACCTGCAGTAATTGCAGGCAGCTGTTCTTAATAACAGGGTGCCTTAGACCACTGTACTACCAAGGCTCTTATTTAAATTTGTTTAATTCGGTTTTATTCTGTTTTTTAAATTTTGCATTTATGTATTTTATTGTTTGGCTGTTCACCACCCTGAGTCCTTCGGGAGTAGGGCGGTCGGTATATAAATCAAATAAAGACTAAAGACTCCCTCCCTCCCCTCCCCTCTGTATCGCTCTATGTCTCTCTGGCTCTCCCCCTCTCTCTGTATCTTTCTGTCTCTGGCCCAGCTGCTTCTCCATCCCCCCCCCACATCCTCCTTACCTTTTCAGGCCAGGTGAGGAGTGACTGGGAGGGGAGGATGAGGGGTGAGGCCAGCCAGTGGTGGGATCACCTAACAGGGAGCCACAGCAGAGAGTCCAAAGAGCTGCATGCGGCTCCAGAGCCGCAGGTTGCTGACACCTGACTCAGCATGTTAAAACCAGGGGTCTCCAACCTTGGCAACTTTTAAGACTTGTGGACTTCAACTCCCAGAGTTCCTCAGCCGGCTTTGCTGACACCTGACCCAGCATGTTAAAACCAGGGGTCTCCAACCTTGGCAACTTTTAAGACTTGGTGGACTTCAACTCCCAGAGTTCCTCAGCCGGCTTTGCTGACACCTGACCCAGCATGTTAAAACCAGGGGTCTCCAACCTTGGCAACTTTTAAGACTTGTGGACTTCAACTCCCAGAGTTCCTCAGCCGGCTTTGCTGACACCTGACCCAGCATGTTAAAACCAGGGTCTCCAACCTTGGCAACTTTTAAGACTTGTGGACTTCAACTCCCAGAGTTCCTCAGCCGGCTTTGCTGACACCTGACCCAGCATGTTAAAACCAGGGGTCTCCAACCTTGGCAACTTTTAAGACTTGTGGACTTCAACTCCCAGAGTTCCTCAGCCGGCTTTGCTGACACCTGACCCAGCATGTTAAAACCAGGGGTCTCCAACCTTGGCAACTTTTAAGACTTGTGGACTTCAACTCCCAGAGTTCCTCAGCCGGCTTTGCTGACACCTGACCCAGCATGTTAAAACCAGGGGTCTCCAACCTTGGCAACTTTTAAGACTTGTGGACTTCAACTCCCAGAGTTCCTCAGCCGGCAAAGCCGGCTGAGGAACTCTGGGAGTTGAAGTCCACAAGTCTTAAAAGTTGCCAAGGTTGGAGACCCCTGTGTTAAACTCCTCCCCACCTCACCTCATACCCATTCAACCGAGTTTAGCGTGATGTGCGAATGCCTCGCTTAACCCGGTTAAGGGGGATTACGAGGGATCTAGTCGGGGGAATCTCAATCTCATCTCCATCCTTTGCAGCCGAAAGCTGGGGCAAAACAGCGAGCAGCCCATATAGTCAGCCCGGGAGTCGGGCACGGGTGGTTCCTCCGGAGAGACAGAAGAAACCTGACCGGGGACCAGAGACCCTCCCTCGCTCTCCCACCCTCCAGCATCCTCCCTGTAGGAGAGGGTTACTCCTCCTCTCCGCGCTCCCCCCCACCCTCCCCATCCCATTTGCGCCCTTTTGCCCGATTCGGACCAGATCCGAGTGCCCGGACATCGCTGCGCTGCGCTCCCGGGGGTGGCGGCAGCTGCAGCCTGTGCCGCGCTATTGCAAGCGGGGGGGACGGGATGGCGACTCGGCTGCCTTACCGGAGGCCGGCGAGCTTGCGCGGCAAGGGCTTGTGACAGCTCTGCCCTTCCTGGAAGTGGAGAGCGGCGGAGAGGGAGGCGCAGGCGCCCAGGAACAGCAGCAGCCGCCGCAGAGCGAGGACCGGCGGCAGGCGAGGCGCCGGCATGGTGGCGTCTGGCGATGGTTCACCCGGGCCGATTGTCCCACAGCCGCCCGCTGCTTTATAAGGGAAGCCCCGGTACCGGGCGGGGATGACAGCAGCGGCTGTCACACAAACACACACACACACACACACATACACACGTGGACGCAGGCTTAAGCTCACCCACGCGCGGTTTCTCCCCCTGATTCCCTTCCCCTCCTCCTCCCGCCCCCCTCCCACGCGCGGCTCACTTGCTAGCAGCTTCTAATCTCTCAGGGGCTGCCCCAAAGAAGAGGGAGTCAAGCTATTCTCCAAAGCACCTGAGGGCAGGACAAGAAGCAACGGGTGGAAACTGATCAAGGAGAGAAGCAACTTAGAACTGAGGAGAAATTTCCTGTGGGGAAGATGGTACGAATGGATAAATGGTAGAATTAAGGAAGGAATAAAAGGTGCAGAAATTAATTAGAAATGTATAGTATAAATGACACCAGACACTTACTCATGTATATATGTATAAACACTGCGAATCCGATGTTAAACAGAATTGTTACTATATTTTATTTGTGTAAAAAAAAAAATCAATAAAGTTGTATTTAAAAAAAAAAAAAAGAACTAAGGAGAAGTTTCCTGACAGGGAGAACAATTAATCAGTGGAACGACTTGCCTCCAGAAGTTGTAAATACTCCAACACTGGAAGTTTTTAAGAAGAGGTTGGATAACCATTGATTGATTGATTGATTGATTGATTGATTGATTGATTCTATTTATATGCTGCCCTTCTCCGGAGACCCAGGGCGGCTTACAATGCGTTAAGCAATAGCCTTCATACTTTTGTATATACCTGCTTAGTAGGGCTTTCGTCCCCACCCACCCCCAAAGCGGTGTTCTTTTTTTATACAAAGTCAGCTTATTGCCCCCACAAACTGGATCCTCATTTTACCTATCTCGAAAGGATGAAAGGATGAGTCAACCTTGAGCCTGGTGAGATTTGAACTTGCAGTAATTGCAGGCAGCTGGTGTTACTTAACAGCACTTTAGTCTGCTGCGCCACCAAGGCTCTTTTTTGTCTGAAGTGGTGTAGGGTTTCCTGCCTAAGCAGGGGGTTGGACTAAAAGACCTCCAAGGTCCCTTCCAACTGTTCTGTTCTGTTCTGTTCTTATTCTATTCTATTCTATTCTATTCTATTCTATTCTATTCTATTCTATTCTATTCTATTCTATTCTATTCTATTCTATTCTATTCTATTCTATTCTATTCTATTCTATTCTATTCTAAAAGCAAGCCTCGGAAAGGGATCCCAGTGTCCCCGGCTTGCTTGGGCTGGGGGATCACCAGCAGGGAGTCAGTGTCGTTCCAGAAAAGTCCTTGGGGAGGCTCAACTAGGCGCCTTCCCGAGCTAGAAGATCAGAGAAATAGTTGGGGAAAGGGGATCTGCTGGCTCTTTAGGAGAGAACAGAAAATCCCTACAACAGGATCAGGACAGAGCTCCTCCGATCCGGCATGACTGCTGTGGGTCGAGGTTCCCGACTGTTTTCTTGTAGGTGGTCTCCAAATCCAGACGAGAAGGTGCCTAGTTGCCTCTTTTCTTTGATTCTGCCCAGCAGTTGATATTTATTGCCTGGATCTTTGGAGGAACATGAGAGAACCTTCAAAATCCTTAGCAGGTAGTCCTTGACTTACAACACTTCATTTAGTGACCGCTCAAAGTTAAAACGGCAGTGAAAAAAAGGGACTTATGACCATTTTTCACACTTGTGACCCTTGCAGCATCCCCAAAGTCATGTGAAGGAAAGTCAGACAGCTGGCAACTGACTCACATTTATGACAGTTGCAATATCCCGGGATCTTCTGACCAGCACAGTCAATGGAGAAGCTGGATGGATTCCCTTAACAACCACATTAAGACCTTAATTACTGCATACTGATTCACTCTTAACAAATGTAGCAAGAAAAGTCATAAAATGGAGCAAAGCTCACTTAACAATGTCTTGCTTAGCAACAGAAATTTTGGGCTCAATAATGGTTGTAAATCGAGGATCCTTCTGTACTGATGTCTTCCTTCCCTGTAGATTTGACTCGTGTTTTATACAGGGTCTACTTGGATGGTCATATATATATTTTATGTATAGGCCATAGATACATTGCCATATATCTTAAGGGCTAGTAAATTGATAGCTTCTTCGATTGTTTGGTGAAACCATGGAAGTTCTGTGCAGAGCATGTTTCTCTGGCCTTAGTAGTCCTGGATGCTTCCTGAGCTTGTTTGTTTGCCTGCAGTTTCATTACCCTACTAGATAACATCATCAGTATCTAGTTGGGTAATGAGATGTCTTCAGGTAAACAACTGAAGCTCAGGGAGCACCCAGGACTTCACAGTTCTACCCTGAGCTACACAGAAGGTCTTCTGTAGGATCTCCTTTGTAAGTTCCTCTGTGGTGCAAAAGAGATTAGCAACATTGGGTTTTGTGACAGAGACAGGTTTGGACTGCAAAGGGAGGGAGGGAGGGAGGGGCTGGCTGGTAGGATATGTCTCTCCAGCCCCTAATCAGAATAACAGAGTTGGAAGGGACTTTGGAGGCTCATCTGAAAGTGGAAGACTGGACAGATATGGGGCTGGTCCAGGCATTTGCCATCTGAGAGAAAGGATAAGAAGAACCTCCTCCCACCCAATGTGCAAAATGATTGACAGGAGAATCTTCCACATTGCTCATAAGACACGTGCACACTCTTTTCCAGCATGTACACTGAGAGCTAGAAACCTACGCAGGACAGATTGCAAGCCCTAGACGGACTGCTTTGCTCTTTCATATCCTACTTCTAGCATTCAGGCATCAGTCAAGTCCCTCTGGTTTCTGAAAAACGTTTTGCACAGAAATTCTCTTTGTTCTGCTTTTTGTGAAACTCCTTAGCCTCCAGCAGGATGATCAAAGTGGAGTGTTATTAATCCTGCCTGGGGGAAAAAAAACACTGGCGAAAACTACCATTTAAAAACAAACAAACAATGGGGTTCCTGGAGTGAGAATTCTCTTCCAGCGCTAATACTAACCTGTTGCTTAATGTTGCCACATTCTGAGTCCTGTCCAAAGTGGCTCTGGATGAATTTTAGGAACTTATTATTGAAGGGGCTATCCTGATTGGCATGAGCAACACCATTACTTTGTAAGCAGTACTGGTTACCAGTTAGGATCCCCATCTATTCAGTGGGGTAGAGGGTGCAGTAGCCAGCTCATTGGGCTAATATTTAAAGTAAAGCAGGGTTGAATAGGTCACTACCGTGGTGGCACAGTGGTTAGAATGCAGTACTGCAGGCTACTTCTGCTGACTGCCGGCTGCCTGCAATTTGCCAGATCGAATCTCGTCAGGCTCAAGGTTGACTCAGCCTTCCATCCTTTCGAGGTCGATAAAATGAGTACCCAAATTGTTGGGGGCAATAAGCTGACTCTAAAGTGCTTAGAGAGGGCTGTAAACGGGTGAAATCCTCTGAAGTCTGCTACCGGTTCTGAGAGTCTGCTACTGAGCGTGTGCTTCATGCACATGCGCACCTGAGGCGCGCCTGCGCAGCGCTAAAAAAGGAACATTTTGAAGCCTTCCAAGTCTGTAAAGGTAAGTAGAACAGCAAGGGGGGGAATCTGCTGTGCCACGCGATTTAGATTAGCTAGAAAGCAGGAAATCCGACGATTCTAGCTAATATATATCACACGTCACAGCTGATCGTCGCCCAGCTGATCATTGGAAATACCAGTTCGCTTGAACTGGTAGCATTTTTTACTACTGGTTCACTTGAACTGGTCCGAACCGGTAGCATTTCACCTGTGGCTGTAAAGCACTGTAAAGCGGTATATAAGTCTAAGTGCTATTGCTATTTCAATGTTAGAAGTTTGATAGGAAAATTGATATGTCTTGAAAGAATTTTTGATATCACTGCCAAGAAAACTATGTTCATGTCAGGAGTTGGCTATGATTTAAAGGAGACACTCTCTGTACATCATCATTTTAGTCATTATCTGTCCACTGCAGGATGAAGGCCTCTTCCGTATGTTTCCAACCAATACGGTCCTGAGCTTTCTTTTGCCAATTGGGCCCGCCATACTTGCTGATGTCGTCGATCCATCTTGTTTTAGGTCTTTTCCGTGGATACTTTTGATCTAGTGGGATCCATTCTATGACTGCCTTGGTCCCCCTGCCATCAGTTCTTCTTGCTATGTGACTTGCCTGTTTCCATTTCAGTTCTTTTACTCTCTTGATGTAATCAGTAGTAAATGGGGCTCCTTGGAGTTGTGAGTGTGAGAACATAACTTGAATTATCTACTCAGTTATGAACTGGGAAATTTGAGCAGAAAACGGCAGCTTCCACAAGGTCACACTGCTTTTGTCACAACGATGAAAGCTGTTTCGAGGCACCATGTTACATTTTCCGTGCCTTCTGGTTGTGTGTGTGGTATTGCAATGCATGTGGAAAAGGGGAGGGGTTTGCATCACCATTTCCTGACTCTACTTTCATCAGTCCAACTTGCCCGCTCCTGTGGACATCATCAATAGAAGACAATGTCTCCTAATATTCGTAACCCTTGTTTGTAGGAGATGTTACCAAATGACTCCCTTTTTCTTCCCAAACCAGATAGATTTTGAAAGCAGAATTTAGCTTCGTGTTCTGGAAAGTGCCAGAAATTCTGAAAAAGAAGAGTTCTAAATCTTAGAACAAAAATGCTAACGCTTTTGGAAAACTCTGGTGGCTCCCAGATCTCTTCTGTTGAGCTAATGTTCGTCTTTTGACTTTGCCCATCTGGTGCCAGTTGATAAGGCCAAGGGCAGTTCACTTGAGTTCCAGCTGTAGTGTGTTTCTGGATACAGCTGAAGAGCTATTTGACTAAAATAGTATTTTCTTTAAAAGGAACGTGTATGTACACGGTGATCCCTAATAAACAAGTTTAGAAAAATTTAGGGTGGGGGAGGGAGGTGGGGAGAAAGACTGGGCTGGTTGTAGTAGAAGTGGCTTTTCCTTTTTCTGTTTGTAGAGTGTGTATATGTCTGACAAGCAGTTATGGCAGTATTAAAAAGTGTGTTTTATATATATATACCATTATGGATACCATATATATGGATACCATATATATATATATACCATTATGGATTTCTGGTGTCAAAGATCTCTTCTTTCCTATCTTGCACATCAGCTGTTCCCAGTGAGTTGGTCTATTTTTTTGCATACCTTCTAACACATTGTCCATCTTGTGTCTGACAAGCAGTTACGGCAGTATTAAAAAGTTTGTTATATGCAAAAAAATAGACCAACCCACTGGGAACAGCTGATGTGCAAGATAGGAAAGAAGAGATCTTTGACACCAGAAATCCATAATAGTACATGGCTTCTCTCTCTCTCCCCCTCTCCCCTCTCCATCCTTCCCCCTCTCCCTCCCTCCTTCCCTTCCTTCCGCCTCTCTCCCACTCTCTCCTTCCTCTCTCCCTCCCTCTCCCTCTTGCCTCTCTCCCACTCTTTCTCCCCCTCCCCCTCTCCATCCCTTCCTCCCTCTCCCTCTCCTTCTCCCTCCTGCCTCCCTCTCCCCCTCCCTCCCTCTCTCCCTCTCCCTCCCGTCTCTCTCCCACTCTCTCTCCTCCTCCTTCTCTCCCTCCCTCCCTCTCCCTCCTGCCTCTCTCTCCCGCTCTCTCTCTCTCTCCCCCCTCTTTCTCCCCCTCTTGCTCTCCCTCCCTCCCTCCCTCCCTCCCTCTCTCTCTCTCCTAGAAGAAGTAGGAATGGTGGTCTCTGGTTTGGGGAAGGAGGGTTAAAAGTCTCCCCAGGTTATAGGGGGAGTGTTATGTGATACACATAAAAATGAGCAGAATTTTAATTGTACAAGTATTCCTTGAATTACAACAGTTCATTTGGTGACCGTTCAAGTTACAACAGCACTGAAAAAAGTGACATGACAATTTTTCATGCCATTGCAGTATCCCCATAGTCACGTGATCAAAATTCAGTGCAGAGAAGAGCAACCAAGATGATTAGGGGGACAGGAGGCTAAAACATATGAAAAACGGTTACATGAACTGGGCATGGCTAGTCTAGTGAGGAGAAGGACCAGGGGAGACATGATAGCAGTCTTCCAATATTTGAGGGGCTGCCACAGAGAGGAGGGGGTCAAGCTATTTTCTAAAGCACCTGAAGGCCAGACAAGGAATAATGGATGGAAATTGACCAAGGAAAGATTCAAGCTAGAAATGAGGAGGAATTTTCTGACAGAACAATCAAGCAATGGGACAGAAGTTGCCTTCTGAAGTTGTGGGAGCTTCATCACTGGAAGCTTTCAAGAAAAGACAGGACTACCATCTGCCAGAAATGGTGTAGGGTCTCCTGCTTGGGCATGGGGTTGGACTAGATGACCTACAAGATCCCTTCCAACTCTGTTAATCTATTAATTTTTTAAACTTTGACAGATTATTTAAACAGAAATCACACAAAGATACAAAAGCAAAGTAGAAGATAAAGAATTACTAATAAACATAAACAAAAACATTATGAAGGAAAAAAAAAACCTTTGGTCACACAGTCTTCCCTTCTCTTCTATGTATTTCCCAAACCTCTAACCATTACACAAGTGTTTGTACTGGGTTCTTTAAAACATTAAACCTTGGGGATTATTTCTAATAGCTAAGTAATTTCATGTATTACTTTTGATTGGTCTCTTCACTGTTCTCCTAAAGACATATTTCAAGTGTGTGAATTTGCCTTGATAGAGGTATATATCACCAATGAAATATTTTGTACCAGCATTTCCTCAAATGATTACTAGAATACATTTTACTGATTTTTCCATAGCTTATCCCATTGACCTACTCTGATAACTTCTTTGAAGTTTTGCATCCACTTTATCGTGCCATTTTTAATTTGTTCCATCTCCGTAATTTTTTTCAAACTAAAAAAAAAAATGCACCCTGCAATGTTTATTTGTTAAATTCCTTGCAATGCCATCTCGAGTGCTGACATTTGCATCCCCCACGGAGAGCTGAGCTGATTTTATCCAGTTCCAATAAAATAGCCAATAGGTGAAATCAGGCTGAAAAATAGTAAGGGTAGATAGAGACTTAAACCTGTGTCTTCCGTTTGGTTCTCCAAAATGCCTGCTATGATATCTGAGAGTTGGTTGTAAAAAAAGAGGTTTTTTACATTTTAACAATCCTCTTAAAAAAGGGGGGGGGGATGGCATGCACTTCAGTGGTGGGTTCCTCCCAGTTCGGCCCGGTTCCACCGAGCCGGTAGTGGTGACGATATGAGGTCACCGAATCAGTTCTGGGGCCCTCCCGCCCCCTGTCCCCCCACCCCCCGCATTATCCTTACCTTTTATTTGGCCCCACCCCCAATCTATTGCTGCCTCCTGAGTCCCAGCTGATGGCTAGAGGGAAAAAAACTGTTTAAACTCTAGCTGCGGGGCTTCAAAGGGCCGTCCTACAGCTGATCAGTATTAAAAGAAAACAAATGAGTAGACCGGTGCCTGCAAAAATACATGAGTAGATCAGTACCTGCAAAAATACATGAGTAGACCAGTGCCTGCAAAAATAAATGGATAGATCGGTACAGCCTGGTAGACCAGTACCTCTGCTAAATCCTAAATAATTGTCACATGACCATCAAGCCACGCCCACAAAATAAGCCACGCCCACAGAAGCGGTAGTAAAAAAATTTGGAACCCACCCCTGGTGCACTTCACTTGCTCTAGACCAGTGATGGCAAACCTTTTTGGCATCCAGTGCCAAAAAAGAAGCGCGCCCACGCATGGGGCACCAAGTGCCGAAAAGGAGCATTTTGCACGCTCGTCAGGGCCGCGACCAGGAAGAAGAGCTGCCCAGGGGGTATGCGTGCACTGGATAAGGTACTTCCGGTTTCTGGCGTAATCTGGCCAGCAAGTCTTCTGAGTTTCTGGCGCACATGCGCACTCGCTGATCAGCTGGCCGGCACACATGCTCACACTGGAAAACAGAAGACCAGCTTTTCCAGTTTCTGGCACTGCTGCATGCACAAAGGCCAGCTGATCGTCGAGTGCGCATGCACGCCAAAAACCCAAAAGAGGAATGGGCAACGTCGCGCGTGCCAGGCAACATGGCTCTGTGTGCCACTTTGGGCACGTGTGCTATAGGTTCGCCATCACGGCTCTAGAACCATGCTCTCTGCTTTTCAAGGCAACAGCTTTTATATTTTATTATCCTTCTGACTTAACTGTCCTATCTGGACCTTAGTCATTGCGAAAGCCCTGGGCTCATAATTTCTATATTTGTCTTATCAGAATTTGTCCGGAGTTCCGGTGCACAATTAAAAATGAATTCTCCAGTCCTTCCTCTAATGAAGCTGTAGCCTAAACAAATAAGGCCCCATTCTGCAGTTCTGGAAGGATAACATACTCGCAGCATCACTGCAGCCTTTGGCCAACACTGCTGGGAAGCCTGGTGCTCACAGATAAATAAACCTCTCCCTATCACAGGGGAACATGCTTTGCTATGGCTTCTCCTGAACCAGAATGCTTTTGTTTTCAGAATGATGTCTCAGCCAAGACACAGTGTTACGGAGGCCATGAAAAAGAAGACGAGATAAGCTATGGGGCGGGGGGTGGGAGGATGAAGGAATACGTGGCAAAGACTAATTTTTTTCCTGGGAAAGGATTATTTCAGGATTAGCTACAATCAAGGTGGCAGCCCCTTGGGGAGTGGGCAAGCTGTCCTTTCATGGCAGATAGTTTTGGGAGAACATCCAAGACATGTATCCAAAATTTCAAAGAAGTTCACTGTTCTCCCAGTAAAGTTTGCTTCTATTTGATGCATATCCAAGAACAGAAAACTACAAGGATTCTCCAAAGCTATCAATCCATGGATTGGCCTACAAATCATTGGGCAGCCAAAATGGGAAGAATTACCTTGGCCTTCTCCTAGCCAGTTGACTTAGAAAAGAGAAAGAAGATATAATTATGAGTTAAGGAATCTCCCAAATAGTCAAATCTGTAGAAAACAGTAAATCCAGGCTAGAGATCATCCGGGAACCAAGCCATAATGCCAGAATTTATACAGAGCTGGCTTCCAAAAGTCTGGGTCAGGGGTCTCCAACCTTGGCAACTTGAAGACTTGTGGACTTCAACTCCCAGAGTTCCTCAGCCAGCTTTGCTGACTGTTTGTTTGGAAACCCTTGGTCTGGGTCACACCTGGATGGATAGTTTTATAAAGCCTGAATTCCCAATACAGCCAGCATGAATATGAATACATTGGATCAAAGGGAAACCTCAAAGACTGATCCCTAATACTACTCCAAGGAGGTTTTTCTGCCAATCTCACTTTCTGCACCCCATAGTTGTTTGACCTTCTATCCAGCAATGATTCTCAATGTTTTGGAGGTTGTTACAAAGAATCCAGCCAGAACTTCACAATCCGGATTATTGACTCATCCTTGCTTGCTTTGCTGATCCTGACCAATACCTCTGTGGCTTCCAAGGCCCCTTTGGCTTCTTCTTATCTTCTGAAGAAGAGTCTTTATGCTATAATAGAGTCTGATGAAGTGGTGAAATCCAAATTTTTTTACTACCGGTTCTGTGGGCTTGGCTTGGTGGATGTGGTGTGGCTTGGTGGGCATGGCTTGGTGGGCGTGGCATGGGAAGGATACTGCAAAATCTCCATTCCCACCCCACTCCAGGGGAACAATACTGTAAAATCTCCATTCCCACCCCATTCCATGGGAACGATACTGCAAAATCCCCACTCCCTCCTTACTCCTGGAGTCAGCCAGAGGTGATATTTTCTAGTTCTCCGAACTACTCAAAATTTCCACTACTGGTTCTCCAGAATCTGTCAGAACCTGCTGTATTTCACCCCTGGTCTGATGGCTATAATAATCTTTGTGTCTGATATGGCTGGCATCTGCCTGCACTATTTGGACACAAAATTTGTGGATTTGATGGTCTTGTACTTTGATCATTATAAATAAAAGGTTGAGGACCAGATACCATGCAGTATATATGGTAGTCATACATTATTATTTCATCTCAGTGAGCTAGGATGAAAGACCTGATCTTCTATTAGCATCTCAAGTTGCACATTTGGAAATGTGAGTAGCTGTTGAAAGACAGGGTTGCATAGCTTGGGCTGGATGGGCCGAGTCCTTGTGCATAAGATTACATGGATAGGAGGTGCGTTCATTAAAGGGACACTGAATTATTGGAATGTTTTCCTTCTTTGGGACTTCCTTATGAATGTCATATCAGAAGAGCTCTTGTAAGCAGTGGGAGGTGCCAGATGTTCCCATGTTGATGCTGTTGCTTGCATTTGCACTAGAAGTCACATTTGGCAGATGATAAGGGTAGCTATAGCTGACACTACAGGGGCTGAGTGAGCCTTTTAGAGAGAACATCTGGAAAAGAGGAACCCACCTACGTTGCTGGATCTAGGCAAGATGCGTGAAATTGTGCATGTCCAGATTGGCCAGTGCGGGAATCAGATCGGTGCTAAGGTAGGTCATTTGCTTTCATTTTGCTGCTAAAAGATAATGAGATATAAGTTCATACCACACAAAGTATGATGGAAGTTTGAACAACTTTGGGTGAAAATGCTATTACATTTGGCCAACAGGCCAAATCTATAAAAGTGTAAGTTTTCAACCTGTCAGAAGAGATGATAATGTGAGGTCAAATAATGATTAATTTAGACCAACATTGTGTTTCATACCAGATGTCTCAAGAAAACCTGCACAACTTAAAAGAAGTGTTCATTTCTTCCAGCAACTTACTTCCTCTGGAAAACAGGAGTAGCCCATAAATATGACAATTAGTTTTATTTTTACCCCATTCATTTGTTGAATCCTTCTTTAAACACATATTGTGGTGCAAGAAGAGAAGAAAATGGATGATGGTATGAAAGAATCATCTTATAATGCAAACATGGTTAGAATCTAGTATATTTAGTAAAAATGGCAGACTAAGTAAGTTTAATGATCATAGTTCCCATCATGCTGGCATAGTCATTCACCTTCTAAAAGGCTTGTTTTGGTGGTGCTTGAGTTTTTCAAAGGAATCATTACCAATCTGTTCTCATAAAGATATGCCTGGATAAATCCAGATTAGAAAAATAGCATTACAGCATTAATCAGCCACTAAAATGATAGTCTGAATTTTAGATCCTGTCATTTCCTGCCAAGAAATTATTATAGTTGGACATCTGGAGTCCCCAGGCTGGGAAAATCTCCTGTGAATATTTACTCAGCAGTAAATCTCACTTTTTAAATGGTAATTATTCCTTTGCTATGGTAGTAAATTGTATTTTAAAATTAATATTATGGAATTCCTTTCTTATTGTAAAGAAAGAAAGTTTGAAACCAGTTCTATATTTTTTTACTTACAAATACGTTTGGTTGCTGTAAGGCACCCTGGAAAGGAGGAAGTTGCCAAAACAACTGGCCAAAAACTAGGCCTGATATAGATCATATCCTGAAGAATTTTGTTCTAACCATCATTGATAGACAATAGCAACTATTTCTTGATGTAAGTCAATTATAAATACAGGTAGTCCCCGACTTACAACCACAGTGAACCCAATTTTCTGTTGTGAAGTGAGACACTTAAGTGAGTTTTGCCCCATTTTATGACCTTTCTTGCCACAGTTGTTAAGTGAATCACTGCGGTTGATAAGTTAGTAACCCGGTTGTTTTAAGTAAATCGGGCTTCTCCATTGACTTTGCTTGTCAAAAGGTTTTCAAAAGTTAATCAAATGACCTTGGGATGCAGCAACCGTCATAAGTATGAACCAGTTGCCGAGCGTCTGAATTTTGATCACACGGTCGTGGGGCTGCTACAAAGGTTGTAAACTGTGAAAAATAGTCATAAGTCACTTTTTTCAATGTTGTAACTTTGAACTAAATGAACTGTTGTAAGTGAATGACTACCTGTATTCTTAGTGATGATGGAAACAGCTGCCTATAAGAACTGAGCAAAACTTCTGAGAATAAAATGTCTCTTGAATTGCACATTCCAGGCACTCAGAAGGGGAATGAATTATCTTGCTGCTTTTCCTTTGGCTGCATTTCCTAATGACTGTGGAAGAATATAGTCTGATTCAGCGTGACATTTTGTACACATCCCAGTTTTGAACTGGAGACTATTTGTAATTATCAAAGTATTCTTTTTATTGCAAACTAAATTCAAGAGCTGTTTAGAGACCTTGCCGTTCCAAAACAAGGGCGTTCTTGCATTTACACCCTCATAGTCCCAGATAAAGGCTCAGCGGGGCTGAATTTCAAAGTAGACACAAAGATAGACCTCGTGGGGTAAGAATCCGATGCCACACATTGCCTTCTATTCCAAGTCATTGTTGGATTAGTAAAAAAGTTTGCCCCATTATTGTCACTGTGCTTTTGATTCGTACTACAAGCCTTGTTGAAATGAACGGGTGAAGAATTAGTAATAAATAGTAATTAATGAATAGTATGCAGTGCAATTCAAAGATCATGAAAGATGTTCTAAAAACTGAGTTCAGCAATAGGGAGGAAAGTTAAGTAAATTGATAAAATGTGCATAGCACAGTTTTGGGAATACTTTCCAATCTTTTGTCATGAATAGAGAAAAACCTCACCCTTTTCGTCTTTGTAATAAAGACAGAAATTTTATATCTGTGGGTTTAGGTAAGTTTCTGTTCTTCCATCATGTTCCAGTTGCATTTGTTTACATGGGTGCACAGGGTGGGCTGCACATGGTCTGTTCTGTTGGGAGAAATATCCTTCTGGGTTCAACTCCAAGTGGGGAAAAAGACACTGGAAACACGACTACTGCTTGGAAAGATGGTTTAATGGTGGGCAGGATCACATGGCTTGAGTTCCTGAACAGAAAAAGGGGCGAGATACAGTGAGTCCCCAGATTTTTATGCTCTCTCTGGCTTTGAATTTCCTGGGGCCCCGAAAGAGTATCCTGACTGGTTGTCAGACTCCCAGGGGGTGGGGGTCTTAGCTAGCCTTGCTGGCTAATGTAATCTTCCCAGGTGCCATGTGGTTTTTGTCCTAGATGGCTCCTATTGTGTTGCAGATGAAGGTCCATTGACAAGGATTGAGTTTCTGCCTCTTGCCCATTGACAAAGGTGTGGGGGGGAGGAGGCAGGAAGCTGCTTTGTCTTTAAAACATGTTTATCCATTTCTCATCCAGGGAAATATAATATTCTGCCTTTTTAATATTTCCTAAAATATTTCATTTTTCCAGGAAAGGAGTGGGTGCTAACTTCCTACAGTTCCAAGTCATGTGACCAAAAAAAAGGGAGGAGGGGTTTATCTGGAGTTCACAGCCTTCAACCAAATCTGGCCCATTTTAAAATTGGACCTTTCTTTTGCCAAATTTGGTCTTATTCTGTCCTGCGCTGGCAGTTCTGGGTGCCATGAAATCTACTTTCTCCCCTTTTCTCCCCACCTGGTTTTGCTAACATGTAACCTGAGAAAGACTTCTCAAGACTGCAGTGGGAGGAATTGATTGGTTGTCCCAAAGGTGCTTTTTCAAGAGGCAACTGGACTTTCTTTGTTTTTCCTTGAAGACTTCTCACCAGAGAAACTGCTACAGTTCTGACTGAATGGTGGAAGATGGAAGGATTTATATTTCTTGCAGTCATCTGATCATTAGGACTCTTTCTGAGAATCCTTGAGGCCACGTGGAGGTTTATCTGTGCCCTCAGGATCACCTGAATAGTGCAAATAGGTGTGGAATCCTCTGGAAATTGCTGAAAGGACTGTATTGTAAACAGGAGACAGGTGGATCCAAGGAATATAAAAATCCTTCCATTCTCCACCATTCAGTCAGAACTGAAGAAACTTCTTGTATGAGAAGCGAAATGTCTTCAAGGAAATTTAAAGGAAGTCTAGTTGCCTTTCGAAAAAACAATCTTTGGGAAGATTGAGGAGAGAAACCAGGATGAATGAGAACCCAGAAGTACATGGAGATCTGCTGGAAGACATCTTAAATGTTCACAGCTACCCGAAGCAATCCAAATCCACCTGACATGGCAAAGGAACTGCTCTACTAACTTACAGCAAATAACCAATTTTCAGTTTCAGGGTTACAGACAGAGGGAGCTGTTGTTTCCTGATCTGACTCACATTACTATTTTTATCTGATTTTTTATCAGCTTGATTTCCTACTAAGGAGGTGGGTGGTGGGGTGGGAATTAATGCATGCGTGTATGAAGTCAAAGGAAAGTTCATTCAAATTCCGTACGTGCTACCCCATGCAAGAATGCCAGTGATCTCACGACTTCACCAGGCCAATAAATGCAGAAATAAATAACCAGGTGAAATGCTTGTATTGTTTGAGTCTGTTTGTCCTCTTTCAGTTCTGGGAAGTCATCAGTGATGAGCATGGGATTGACACCACGGGAAATTATCACGGTGATTCACCATTGCAGCAGGAAAGAATTAATGTGTATTTCAATGAAGCTTACTGTAAGTAACTGGGCAAACAAAATTTGCTTGCACAGGCAATTACCGAGGTTAAAAATAGAACATGTTTATCATTTACTTATTACTATCATTTTTACGCCAGAGAATCAAGAGTGTCTTAACAGTAATATTATAACATAATAATAAAATGCTTTGTCATCTTTCACTGCCATGAAATCCACTTCTTTTAAGAACTGTCAAATGAGACTTTCCCTGTGTAGAAACTGCTTTGTGTATTAGAACTGCAGTGTCAAACATTCTTAGTTTGCACTAAACTGGAGTTGGCAAACCACAGGCTACAGTATATGCCGAATCTGGTCCACCGGCCAGAGAATTCTGGGAGTTGAAGTCCACACATTTTAAAGTTGCCAGATTTGAAAAACACTGCTGTAGAGATAATTTGCCACTCAGGCAAGAATGATCATCCTATTATCAGTTATTAATTGCTTCCCATATTTGAGGCGGAGGAGAAGGGGTCAACTTATTCTCCCAACTACCAGAAGGCAAAACAGGAAGCAATGGGGGGGAAGCTTATTAAAGAGAGATCCAACCTAGAATTAAGGAGAAATTTCCCATTAGTGAGAACAGTTAATCAATGGAATGGCTTTTTTTTTTTTTTTTTAAATTTGATTTATATGCCGCCCTTCTCTGAAGACTCAGGGCGGCTTACAATGTGCTCAGAAATAGCCTTCATCCTTTTGTATATTTATACAAAGTCAGCTTATTGCCCCCACAAACTGGGTCCTCATTTCACCTACCTTAGAAAGGATGGAAGGCTGAGTCAACCTTGAGCCTGGAGAGATTCGAACCCTGCAGTAATTGCAGGCAGCTGGTCTTAATAAGCTTAATAACAGGGTGCCTTAAACCCCTGTACTACCAAGGCGATTGTGGGCGCTCCATCACTAGAGGTTTTTAAGAAGAGACTGGACAGCCAGCTATAGGGCAGGGGTGGGATTCAGAAATTTTAGCAACCGGTTCTCTGCCCAGTTGCTGGGTGGGCGTGGCCATGGTGGGCGTGGCCTACTCGGCTTCCTGCACCACAGGGGGCGGCGTTTTCACCCTCCCCAGACTCCGGTGGCTTTACTTGAGCCTCCAGGAGGGTAAAAATGGCCTCCCCCCAGGGTCCAGAGGCTCTCCGGAGGCCGGAAACGGGCCCGTTTTCAGACTTTCGGTACTTTCAGTAGGCCCATTTTTCGCCCTCCCAGAGCCTCCGTTTGGGCCCTGCACTTACCTGGCATCCAAAACGGGCTGCATGGAAACTCCTGGGAGGGGCGGGGTGGGAGGGGCGGGGTCAGCCAGTCCTTGCAACTACCGGTTCAGCAAACCAGATTAAAATTAACATTTGGTTCACCCAAACCGGTCCGAACCGGCTGAATCTCTCCCCAATATAGGGTCTTCTACTTGAGCAGGGGATCAGTGTAGAAGACTTCCAAGATCCCTTCCAACTTTGTTATTCTCTTACCTTGAGTGAAGCCATGAAACCCTCAGTGTTTCTCAATCTTGGCAGCTTTAAGAAGTGTGAGCTTCAGCTCAGTTCGGAGAAATCTGGGAGTTGAAGTCCACACTTCTTAAGATGACCAAGGTTGAGAAACAGTGCTCTAGGATTATAGTACACTTGATACTTCACAGCTGAATAAATTATCTCAAGCAGGGGTGGGTTCTACTTACCTTTATTACTGGTTTGTAATAGGGCCGCGCGCACATGCACAGAAGCTTCCTGATGACGTCGGGGTCGGTGGGCGGAGCCTCCCGCTGGTTTTACTATCGGTTCTATAGAACCAGTCCAAACCAGGGGCAACCCACCACTGACCTCAAGAGAAAGCAGATGAATAATTTTGGAGTTCAAATTCTTTACTGCACAGAGGAAAAAATATGGTTGCAAAGTCTGCAGCATTTTAAAATCATCAGTCTCATTGAAGAGAGCTGATATTGTCTTCCAGAATAGATTTCTATGGCCCAATTGTGTGGAGTGTGTGTGATGATTTCCTTAACGTAATGAAAGCCCTATGTGTATTTCGCCAACTTAAACTATAAATTTTTCAGGCGTTCATAACTTTCGCTACATTGCCATCTAACGGACAAACAGGAAATTACATAAACATTTGATACTAAGGTACAGGTAGTCCTTGACTTACGACCAAAATTTCTCTTGTTAAGCAAGACATTTGTTAACTGAATTTTGCCCCGTTTTACAACCTTTCTTGTCATACTTGTTAAGCGAATCATTGCAGTTTGTTAATGTAGCAACACGGTTGTTAAGTGAATCTGGCTTCCCCACTGATTTTGTTTGTCAGAAAATTGCAAAAAGTGATCACATCACCCTGGGACACTGCAGCCATCGTAAATATGAACTAGTTGCCAAGCATCTGGATTTTGATCACTTGTCCACGGGGCTCTTGCAACAGTTGTAAATGTGAAAAACGGTCATAAGTCACTTTTTTCAGTGTCGTCGTAACTTTGGTCACTAAATGAACTGTCATAAATTGAGGATTACCTGTGCCCTTGCCCACTGCCAGGCGGGCACCTATTTTCCCACCTATTTTAGCTTTCTTTTTATCTTCCCCTTTTTGTTTGTTTACAGATGTGAAGATTGTGGGGAGTTTTTCAGCAATTTTCCTAAGCCTATTTTTAATTAGTAGGGGATTGTCCAACATGAGATCCCTGCCCATTCTTGGGCCTCTTTAGAAAGGTCCATCAGATCGGTAACGGTGTCTTGGGGGCCAATGGGCTAACTCCATTCTGAACTGATTGTCTCTGGCTGACAACCATTTTGGAGTTCCTATAGATTCTGAGAAGCTCCAAAATGAATCAACCCATTGCTCTAGGCCAGTGATGGCTAACCTTTTCCGGACTGAGTGCCCAAAACGCATGCATGCCCTAACCCCCAAAATGCAATGTGTGTGTGTGGACCCCACACATGAGCGCACACCTCCCCGCAAGCATGTGTGGCCCCCCGTATGCTCCCTGCCTCCCCACGCATGTGTGTGTGGTCCCCCACATGTCCCTCCCAAGCATGCACGCAGGGGTCCCCCGCACACGCCCCTCCCCTGCGCATGCGTGGCAGAGACCTGAAGACCAGCTGGCTGGCGGGAGCCATGCGCACTTGCGCAGCAGAGCTGAACTGGGGCGATGGCTCATGTGCCCAAAGAGATGGCGCTGTGTGCCACCTCTGGCACACAGGCCATAGGTTCGACATCACGGCTCTAGGCAATATCATATTAACTTCTAAGCCCAAACTGCTTACATTCCAGTTTAAAGACAATACCAATCGTGCTACAGGCAGTCCTCGACTTACAACAATTCGCTTAGTGACTGTTCAAAGTTACAACAGCACTGAAAAAGTGACTTACGACCATTTTTCACACTTATGAGCGTTGCAGCACCCCCATGGTCGTGTGATTTACATTCGAGTGCTTGGCAACTGACTCATATTTATGACGGTTGGCTCATGGGATTCCCTTTTGCGACCTTCTGACAAGCAAAGTCAGTAGGGAAACCAGATTTACTTAACAACCGTATTACTAATTTAACAACTGCAGTGATTCACTTAACAAATGTGGCAAGAAAATTTGTAAAGTGGGGGCAAAACTCACTTAACATATTTCTCACTTAGCAACATAAATTTTGGGCTCAATTGTGGTCATAAGTTCAGGACTACCTGTATGTTTGTCTAACATGGTTTGAATGACTTAGGTGTTGAAACCACTTCTGGAGTGTTTTAAAGGAGTCCTGTATGTTCAGGTGAGGCCTATAGGTGTTTATTTAGCATATCTTTAATCCCTTGTGCTGCAGCTCATAAGTATGTTCCTCGTGCTATCCTGGTAGACTTGGAGCCTGGGACGATGGACAGTGTGCGATCGAGCAAAATAGGTCCACTCTTTCGGCCGGATAACTACATTCATGGTATGTATATGGCGTTACTTATCAAACTAATTTAACAAATTGATATTGGCAGAAGTAACATAGCTGACATTCATCCCTTTGATTGACTAAGATATCAGTATCTTTAATCACAGCTTCAGAACACCTAACAGTCTAATTTTTATGAGGGGAAACTTAATTCTGTTTTTTATGCTTTACAGAGTGAAAGCTTAAACAGATCACAGGAGACTTATCTAAAATGTTCAAAGATGAAACCAGATCATTAATCTTAAAAGGAATGTTTCCTCAAGTCTCTTTCCCTGCCTCTGTAATATTTGTTACAAGACAAGATAACTTTTATTGTCTTTTTTTTTTCTGTGAACACAGTGGCACATATTAAAATATGAAATTCTGATGCCTGCTCTAGAAAGAAAATAAGCCAAAATATTTAAAGTCCATCCAAGCTAACAGCACTATCCGGGACAGAATATGCTTTAATCAATTTTCTGTTGCAATGATGAGACAGCAGTTTCTCATCTGCCGGCTTGTTATTAAATCTAGCTTCATGTAATCCATTTTAGGCTCAAAGGGGCACATTAGCAAACAAAATAGATGGTAGCAACACTCCATATGGATTAGCCTTTAGCCTAGTTGTTAGCCCTCCACGTTTGCCTTGTTTCCTCTTTTGTTTACACCGTCTCCTTCTCAGAAGTCACTCAGCGACGGAGTGCTGCAAAAGCTGCTGCTCCCTGCTGTCTCTGCCACCCAAAATGCCGAACACTTTGAGAGACTGCAGCTGATCTCACACTCTCCGCACAACCCACTGACATCTCTGCTGCTGACACACTTCAACCGAAGCAGTCCGAAACAATGCACTTTCCAGAACAGCTTTAGCAGTAGTTCCTCTCTTGTTAAATATCACCAAACCCAATTAGACTGGTGGTCATATAAGAATTTGGTAGTACAATTCCACTTTCTTGCCAACAAATTATTCAAATCGGATGGCACTTTCAACTCCCAAACCAGGGGTGGGCTGCTGGGGGTTTGCAGGGGTTCGGGAGAACCTCTAGCTAAGATTCTGTGCAGTTTGGAGAACCCCCAAATCCCACTCCTGGCTGGCCCCGCCCCGCCCACCCTGCCCCTCCCAGGAGTCCCCACACAGCCCATTTTGGATGCAGGTAAGTGCAGGGCATGCTTGGAGACGGCAAAAAATGGGCCTACCAGGAGTTCGGGAGGCTGGAAATGGGCCTGTTTCTGGCCTCCAGAGGGCCTCCGGAGCCTGGGGAGGCCATTTTCACCCTCCTGGAGGCTCGAGGGAAGCCTCCAGAGCCTGGGGAGGGCAAAAAACCCCCACCCTGGTGTAGGAGGCCGACTAGGCCACGGCCACCATGGCCCTGCCTTGTTTTAGAGATAAGCTTTTTGCAGTTGGGTAGAATAATTAACTTTTCAAACAAACTGCTAATTATTAAATTGACATTTAGCCAGCTTTCTTTATAACTATATATTTACAGGAAATTCAGGTGCTGGTAACAATTGGGCAAAGGGTCATTATACCGAAGGGGCCGAATTGATTGAAAATGTGATGGACATTGTGAGGAATGAATCTGAAGGATGCGACTGCCTCCAGGGCTTTCAGTTCGTCCATTCTCTTGGAGGTGGGACGGGCTCTGGAATGGGCACCCTTCTGATTAACAAGATCAAAGAAGAATATCCCGATAGGATCATGAACACTTTCAGCGTAGTGCCTTCACCCAAAGTTTCGGACACTGTTGTTGAACCGTACAATGCCATTTTATCAATCCACCAGCTGATAGAAAACACAGATGAAACCTTCTGCATTGACAATGAAGCCCTGTATGACATCTGCTTTAGAACACTGAAGCTCCCCACACCAAGCTATGGAGATCTAAACCACTTGGTGTCACTCACCATGAGTGGCGTCACGACCTCACTTCGCTTCCCTGGCCAACTCAATGCAGATTTGAGAAAGTTGGCAGTCAACATGGTGCCTTTCCCCAGACTTCATTTCTTCATGCCAGGATTTGCTCCACTAACATCTCGGGGCAGTCAACAATACCGAGCTTTGTCAGTCCCAGAACTTACCCAACAGATGTTTGATGCTCGGAATATGATGGCAGCTTGCGACCCACGTTACGGGCGGTATTTGACGGTGGCCTGCATCTTCAGAGGCCACATGTCTATGAAGGAAGTGGATGAGCAACTATTGGCGGTGCAGACTAAAAATAGCAGTCACTTTGTGGAATGGATCCCCAACAACGTTAAAGTGGCCGTCTGTGACATACCTCCTCATGGGTTAAAAATGTCTGCCACTTTCATAGGCAATAACACGGCCATTCAGCAGCTCTTCAGCCGCCTCTCTGATCAGTTCTCAGCTATGTTCAAAAGAAAAGCATTTCTCCACTGGTACACTGGTGAAGGGATGGATGAAATGGAATTTTCTGAGGCAGAAGGCAACACCAATGACTTGGTTTCCGAATACCAGCAGTATCAGGATGCAAAAGCCGATATAGAAGAATATGAGGAAGTGGAGGAGGAAGTCAGGGAAGAAGAAAAGGAAACAACTCAAATGGAAAAGCAATGACTGACTTTTGGTCTTTAAAACTTTATAATATAATATGCCGATTGTTACCATTTAATGTGGCTGGATTCTCTCCAAAAACGAATGGAAATCAAATGAAGGAACAAGCATTTGTTGTTGTTGTTAGTTGCAAAGTCGTGTCCAACCCATCATGACCCCATGGACAACGTTCCTCCAGGCCTTCCTGTCCTCTGCCATCCTCTGGAGTCCATTTAAGTTCATGCCGACTGCTTCAGTGACTCCATCCAGCCACCTCGTTCTGTCGTCCCCTTCAATCTTTCCCAGCATTAGGCTCTTCTCCAGGGAGTCCTTCCTTCTCATTAGGTGGCCAAAGTATTTGAGTTTCATCTTCAGGATCTGGCCTTCTAAAGAGCAGCCAGGGTTGATCTCCTCTAGGACTGACCTGTTCGATCGCCTTGCAGTCCAAGGGACTCACAGGAGTCTTCTCCAGCACCATAGTTCAAAGGCCTCAATTCTTTGGTGCTCAACCTTTCTTATGATCCAACTTTCACAGTCATACATTGCAACTGGGAAAACCATAGTCTTGACTATATGCACTTATACAAACAACCATTACTATGCATTAAGCCAAGTTCTATCTGACTGTTTTTTTTTAATTTAAATGCATTGCAGAATTAACCCAACAACTTAGTATTTGATTTAAGAGCTTCACCTTAGGCAATAAGTATTTCCTCTGAATCAGTGCCTTCACTGTAGTATTCCAAATAAAGAAGCAAAGCTAAGCATATGACATGCTAAATTAACAGGGCAGAAAATGTAATCAGTCAATTTATAGGTTTTTATGTATATCTCTAGAACAACTTTGTCTTAACTTTGGCAACTTTTAAGATATGTGGACTTCAACTCCCAGAATTCCCCAGCCAATGCACACAACTGAAGGTTGCCAAGGTAGGGATACACTGACTTAGAACCTTGTACTTGAATGTGCCAGCCAGCTTATTTAGTTTATTATGGGGAAGGACCACTACGATTCCCATTTGTGTTTCTAGTATATTTAAGCTTTTGCAGATTTAAGACGATCAGTCTAATGAATATAAGATCTAACTTAAGCTGTTAACAAGACATTAAAAATTATTACCCCTTAAATCATTTAGCTGACCTACGCACCTATTAATTGGAGAGACGTTCCTTTCACTGGATCAGCTCTCCCACATAAGGCAAGAAAATAAGATTGATGCTGCCAGATGAAATCAAATGGTCCAAAGTTTCACCAGCTAAACATTCTGGAAAGGCTTCAACAGCCCTTACCCTTATCTACAAACATGTCAATTGCCTTTGAACACAGCGATTTTATTTAACCATGATAGTTAAAAGCTATTGATGGATCCTGTTCTTATTAATTTACCCAGTCATTCGAGTCTATGAATGATGGATTATTTTATTTTGAATCAATTAAGGTAACACATTGGGTGGCGTGATAGCTCAGTGGTTACGATGCTGGGCTTGTTGGTTGGAAAACTGGCTGCCCAGGTTCAAGAGTTCAGTTCCATGCGATGGGGTGAGCTCCCATCCTCACTTCAGCTCCTGCGAATTTAGCAATTCGAAAGCATGCAAATGTGAGTAGATAAATAGGTACCCCTTTGGTGGGAAGGTAACAGCACTCCGTAATGTCATGCTGGCCAAGTGACCGCGGAAATGTCTTTGGACAGTGCTGACTCAATGGCCTTGAAACGGAGATGAGCATCACCCCCCTATAGTTGGCAATGACTAGCAGAATAAAATCTCCTTTACCTTTTTTTCTTTTTTAATGTAACACATTACAGGTAGTCCTCAACTTACGACTATTCATTTAGTGACTAAAGTTATGGCAGCATTGAAAAAAAGTAACTGGTTCTCGCACTTATGATTGTCATAGTTCACTGCACTCATATGAATAATGGTGGATTCACTTATCAACCATGGTGATTTGCTTAATGGCACCAAAAAGGTTGTAAAATTGAGTACAACTCCCTTACCAACTATTTCATTTAACAATAGAAGCTCCAATGCCAACTGTGGTTGTAAATGCAGACTATCTGTATGTATTATGTGAATACTTTTTGTATTTTGAATGTACTGTAAATTATAGTTCATTGTAACTCACTCCCAGATATCAACATGGAATTAAGATGACTACCTAACACTACCAATGTCATTGCTAAGAGGCTCAGTGGGGAGAGCAGAGCCAGAGTTGATACTTTAAATTACCTGTTTTATACTAATTCCCTTGCAAAATTCACAAAACCAAATTTACTTTGAGAATTCCGCCATAGTTAAAAGATTAAATACAGCCATTTAGAAGAATAAATACATTTTGGGAAAGAGGAAGTACTGCTTAATGTATTAGAACATGTTCTATGTAAAGTATGCATGTGTATATATGGAATTATGCTTCATATTAGATATATGTGTATACACACACATATACATGTTGGTGTGTACTATGTATGTGTAAAAATTGAGTTTTCAGTGGTTTGAGCAAAACTCCTGAAATGATAATATGTACATATTTTCCTTATAAAATGTGGTAGCATTATTTACAAGATTATTAGCTATAGGATTTGTATATAGGAGAACCAGTAAAAGGCTACAAAATGTGAACTCTAGTCCCATTTTAGGCATAAAAGCTGGCTGAGTGATTTTGAGCTAGTCACTCTGTCTTAGCCCAACCCACTTCACAGGGTTGTTCTTGTGGGTAAAATAGGAGGAAGGAGTGTATGTTCACCGCCGTGAGTTACTTATAAAAATAAGGAAACAGGATAAAAGAAATCAAAAGAAAATTTCACTTATAGGACAGAAAATGTATTGTATAATAAATCTATTGGCCTTTACGTTGTTATAGGACTCTTAACAATTTTTCTACCAAAGACTTCAAGGGAACTTTCTTGTAATTGCTTATAGAAATACCGGTAAGTTTGCATTTATCAACTTGATGTTTAGATATTCTAAATGACATGGTGGCAGCAGATGATAGAAATTAACACATCTCAAAAAGGTACCAACAATGGTAAGCTAGAGGCTCAAGAAATTATAGAAAAAAAACCTGGAGACTGGATCATAGAGGTCAGCTGGTTTAGGTTTTTTTCCTATGTAGCATCCAATAATTACTTTAAACCAGGGCCGTCAAAACTCCTGGCCCACAGGCCAGATGCATCACCCACTGGCCACACCCACGACCGGTTTAGCGAAAGGAAAAAAACGTTCCGATACGTCATGTGACGCCGCAATGACGTGAGTTTGACACCCTTGCTTTAAACAGTAGCATTATATAAAACATTGCACTAAACCAGCTCCCCTCTACCAGTCAAGTCAGATGCTGCCAGCTACAGTATTAATATACATTTCTTTTTATCTTGCACTTTTGCTGATAGTGTGTTGTGCAGATTTCTGTTGAATGTTTATACAAAATGTGAGAATATGAGAATCTCCATAGACGTACAAAATATTTATTTTTCTATCGTATAAAACTGATTTTGCTAGCAGAAAAATGGAGAAATATTTCTCTTAGCTGCCATTTACTTTACTCGCATCATTTTCATTTTATTTAAGCTACTGTTGCAATGCAAGTATTATACAAAAGCCAATAAAATGAGATTAAACAGAATTTGTATCCATTTCTATGAATTAAAACACGTCTTGTGGTTTACAATGTTAGTTCATACAAATTAAATTTTATCACCATTCTTCAAAGGTTTCAGAAAAGATTATCACTATAGAAGTGCAAACATTCCCAACTTTCCTTCTTTTTAAATCCTCAACCAATCTTAAAAGATAATGAATCATCACCATAATGAGTGGCATAGTGTTACTTTCTTCAAATGCTCATGTGGTCATGGTTGAAATGTTCAGTTTTTGTTTCATCAATCCAAGCCATTTCTTTCCAAAAGGTTTCAAATTTATCATTTTCTTTTGCAAAATTTAGTTGCAGAATTTGGGAAGGAAACCAGATCTCTCTCCCATACAGATCACTGTTGGTGATTCATGGTGCAACTAACCTATTGAATTTATAAACTGCACACAAAAAACCCATGCATTCAAATTTAGGAGGGGAAATCATTTTAATTCCAAGCAAGCATAATTTGTGATCACTGAATTTTTCTTTCACCGAATGTTTCCTGTTGATTTTCAATAATATTTTTCTCCCACAAAGGACTCAATCTTCTGTAACCAGTGACCTTAAGTTATTCAAACAGGCATTAAACTAAAAAACACTTTTTTAATAAGTTAGACTTATTAAAAGCTAGACTGCTTAATTCCTTGAAGAGTTATTTTATTATTGCTTGATAAAACATAATCACTAAAATCATTTGCATTAAGTTTCATTTATTGGCATGGTTCATTTATATATATACATGGTGGTTTCATAAAATGGGAAGTAGCTGTCCATAAGCATACCAACGAGTTGTCATTTTTCCTTTTAGAGAATGGGTCTGAAAAGACAGGTAAATATACAGTAAGAATTTAAAGTAGCACAGAATGTGAATTAAAACTGACAGCTTGAGAACTAATATCAATGTACCAGTCCCTGTATTTTTTAAGTATTATCCAATTAAATTATTCCATTGCATCAATGAGCTAATATACAAAAGGTTAGAACCTAAAAACACTGAAATTATTTCCACATTTTTGAATCGGCATCTTTCTTTGTTGTACATATTTGCTGTAGCAATTTTCACCACAGAAGTCACTTTAAATCTAGGATGAGGAATTGTGGAAAGCTGTTGGATAAGGCAGAACTGCAAGCAGCTTCTTTCTATCTTAGCATGCCAGTTATTTCCAGTGCTGGAATTTCCACTTCAGTTGGCTTTTGCATACAGAACAAGAAAAGCACAATCCTCCTGGCCATTGTCTGAGATGGCAAAATCCACTGGAATAGTCTAACAGCAGAATCAGTAAAATGGTTTCTGCACACCCAGCTCCATTTCTTATAACCATATCCACTCAGTTCCCCCCCCCTCTCTCATCCATCTATCTATTGCATTTAGAAACCATCCTTCTCCCTCACAGAGACACATTGAGTGGCGTACAAATAAAATGTTCAAAACATAAAAACTGAATATAAAATTTAAAAGCAAGTCAAGAATAAAATTTAACATTAAAAGTTAAGTAAAGTTAAAAGTTAAGTAAAAGGTGGGGGATAGGGACAGGGGAGCCTTCCAAACACTATCCAGCCCCACAGTTATGCACCTCGCTGGAAGCACTAACCAAGATAGCAGAGCCAGCTGGCCTTTAAATGTTTTCAGAAGGCTGGGAAAGTGGGAATCAGTCTCACCTCCAGCGGGAATGGGAGGAGAATGGGGAGAGAATGTTCCAAAGGACAGAGCAATTGCAGAGAAGGCTCTCTTTCTATATCCCAGCAGTTGGGATTTTTTGCCTGCCTGGATGGAATGGGCTGATGTAAGGGGCAAAGACAGCTCACTAGGTTAATTATAGGCAATCCTAAACTATTATACATTTCTTGCTAGAACTTTGAATGAAGTCTCTTGATTCAGCAAAAAACGATTAGAAATAACCAATTTAATCACAATTTTTTATGGCTGCATGGATAATCTGCATTACATAAGACAAGATTCAGTTTAATGCTGTAACACTGTATACAGATCTGAGGGAAACAGAAATCTCTAGAATCTCTTTACTTACTTGTGTCAATCCTTTTTGGGCTTTATAATTTTTACATTGCTTCCAGATGCTTTCTCTGCCTCTGCTTTAAACTGAGGTTTTAGGGCTGCTCTTACTGCTTTTGCACAGATCTGAGAGTAGCGGATGTAGCTGCAAGAAAAATAAATATGGGTCAAAAGGATATCAATCTCCTGAAGTTAACAACTGTGGAAAATTAGAACAGCACCCTGGAAAAGTCATAAATGACTTCTAATAAAATGGAAGCTGGGCCATTTTGTGAAGCTGAGCCATCATAGTGGCTCAGACATTTATTCAGAGGCACAATCTGAAAGTGATACATTAAACTGAAAAGCAGCTATTGACAACTCTATATGCTCTAAATGTTAACCCTGTTAAAGCCCTCTAAATTGGCAGCCTTCAGATCTTCAGGTGTTACTGGTTACCCTCACAACTGTCTACAGGTGATCATGGGTCATTTTCTGTCTTTCATACCCTTACTGCAATATCACCTATCTTTTTCTCAGCCTGCCTTGAAGAAGTATTTCGCAAACTAGATGGGCAAAAGATGGAATAAAAATCAATGGCGCCTATTTAAATCACTTAAGATTGGCAAATGATGTTGTTCTCTTCTCAAAAGACCCAGAAGAGCTACAAAGACACATTCTAAAATTGAACAGCGTGTTAAATATGGTTGGTAGGCATTCGGCAAGCTAAGCATAATTTTCAAAAATAACCTCCCCCTATGCCTGTAGAGAAATGTTTTTGATCAGTGTGTGCTACCTGCTCTAACCTATGCCAGTGGAACACTAACTTCACAATTGATACAAAACTTAGAATGGTGCAAAGAGTCATGGAAAGATACATCTTGGGCATCCCAAAACAAGATAGAAAGACCTGGTCATGGATTAAACAACAAACAAAAGTATATGATATCATCAAGATATATCGTAGTATTGTAGATTCTGAGTATCTACGAGACCGCTTTCTGCCGCCAATAGCCTCCCACCGGCCAATAGGCTCGCACAGAGAGGGCCTCCTCGGGGTGCCGTTGGCCAGACAATGTCGGCTGGCGACCCCCAGGGGGAGAGCCTTCTCTGTGGCGGCACCTGCCCTTTGGAACGACCTACCCCCAGAGATACGTACGATCCCGGATCTCCAGACTTTTCGTCAGGCCCTTAAAACTCACTTATTTTATCTAGCCGGGCTGGCTTGATCCCATCTTTCGGTTTTAATTCGTAATTGATTTTATTGGGGTGTTTTTAAATTGTGGGCCGAAACTATTTAATATCTTTTTAAATTGTTTTAAATTTTGTATGATATGTTTTTACCTTGGCTGTTCACCGCCCTGAGTCCTGCTGGAGAAGGGCGGTATAAAAATCAAATCAAATCAAATAAATAAAATAATAAGAGAATAAAAGAATTAAAATTGAAATGGGCTGCTCACATAGCACGAAGCACTGTTGGCAGGTGGACCATATTGCAGCACTGGTCAAAAGGGCCCAGCAGAGATTATACAACCTGAGACTTCTCAGGAAACAACAACTGAATGAAAAACTGCTGGTGACCTTTTACCGCTGCACCACAGAGAGTATTTTAATTTACTACACCTGTGTATGGTTTGCCAATTCTACTGTATAGTGTAACACTAATGCAGTATCAGAGGTTTTCAATTCAATTGTATAGAATGTGAAGAATATGTGTTTTTGATTTATTTTTATAGTTTTCTTACGTATGATGTACACTGAAGATGGCATTTAATTTCGTTGTACAAGGTGCAATGATAATAAACTAAACTAAACCAAACCAAGGCAGTCTAGAATGGATCCCCACTTGATTAAAAGCATCCATGAAAGAGAGCTAAAACAAGATGGATTGACGAGATCAGCAAATATTGCCAGCCCAATTGGCAAAAGAAAGCTCAGGATCATATTGGTTGGAAACATGCAGAAGAGGCCTTCATCCTGAAGTGGATAGACAATGACTAAAATGATAGCAATAGCAATAGCGCTTATAGACTTACAGTGAGCGGAGGTGGCGCAGTGGTTAGAGTGCAGTACTGCAGGCTACTTCAGCCGACTGCTAGCTGCAGTTCAGCAGTTCAAATCTCACCCATCTCCTTCCACTAATGGCTGTATGACTGTAACTTTGTTGCCTGTATCCTTACGATTTATATTGACCGTTTCCTAATACGATTTGACTGCTTATTTGTACTCTATGGCTATCATTAAGTGTTGTACCTTATGATTCTTGATGAACGTATCTTTTCTTTTATGTACAATGAGAGCATTTGCACCAAGACAAATTCCTTGTGTGTCCAATCACTCTTGGCCCATTCCCCATTCCCTATATTCTATTCTATTCCTATCATTAAGTCTTGTACCTTATGATTCTTGATGAATGAGGTTCCAGATTGTTGGGGGCAATAGGCTGACTCTGTAAACCCCTTAGAGAGGGCTGTAAAAGCACTATGAAGCGGTATATAAGTCTAAGTCAGTGTTTGTCAACCTTGGAAGCTTGAAGAGGGGTGGACTTCAACTCCCAGAATCCCCCAGCCAGCACTGCTGGCTGGGGGATTCTGGGAGTTGAAGTCCACCCCTCTTCAAGCTACCAAGGTTGAGAAACACTGGTCTAAGTGCTATTGCTATATACCATTTCACAGTGTTTTACAGCCCTCTCTAAGCGGTTTACAGAGTCAGCCTATTGCCCCCAGCAATCTGCGTCCTCATCCTTGATAGATGAGAGGTATCTTCGTTTGGGAATGAAGTTTTATTGGTTTTTTTTCACCCTTCTTTTTCTGCATTACAAGGATTTAATTTGCAAGATGGAGAGGAACTAGGGAAGCTTTACTAGCGCTTCCCATCTAAGGCGCCCCGAAGACCAGGAGGCCGGCGGCTTCACAAGACCTGCCTGGGGGAGTGTATTCTGGGGGCGCGGAGGTCGAGGCTGCCCCTTCAGCCACCCACCTACCTACCTACCTGAGCCCAGCTTGCCTCCAGTAAGACATGGTGACGGCTGCTTGCTTGAGGAAATCGCCCGCCCGAGGCCGCAAGGTCGCCCAGTCAAACAGCGGAAGGCGGCTTTGCAGGAGTCTAAACCCGGAAACGCGCTAAAAGACCCGGAAATGAAAACCAAGTCGACCAATCAAAATTCACGTCCTATCGATGCCCCCCCGTACGATTGACGGGTTTATTTCCCCATCCATCTCGTTCTATTTAAGGGAGGAGTTAACCCGTCCGCGATAACCAATCAAAGCTCGGGCCTTCTAACGATACGGCTATTTTCATTGGTTGCGTGGTTTGATGAGCGTGAAACCTATCCTCTGGATCAGGGGTCTCCAATCTCGGGCACTTTTAAGACTTGTGGACTTCAACACCCAGAATTCCCCAGCCAGCATGCCTGGCTAGGGAATTCTGGGAGTTGAAGTCCACAAGTCTTAAAGTGCCCGAGGTTGGAGACCCCTGCTCTCTGGATGAATCGCAGAATGTCACCCACGTGGTCTAACACCCTCTTTGGGGATCGCAGCCCCGCAGAATTTGGAAAATCGGAGTTGTTTTTTTTGGGGGGGGGAAGCTTCGTTTCTTTATTGTTGGGGTTGCAATGATTTAATTTTTTTATTGTCTTTTATATCTTTCATTAATCAAAGTTGTCTAATTTCTACACCACCCATCTTTATCTGAGCAACACGCTGGACTGTTTAGAAATAAAAAAGCATACCTCCATGTAGAAAACAGAATTAAAAAGCCATTAAAAACGAAGTTAAAATTGCAGGTTAAAAAGTTAAGAGGTGGAGGGAGCGCCCTCAACCCACCAATCACTCCCCAGGTTTTGCATATTATTTTAGACCCATCTGCCAACTTGGCAGAACCAGGTCTTGATGCCCTACTAGGAGAGATGGAGCCACTATAGAAGGGAGGGCATCACTGAATTAGCTTTAAATTATCCCATAAATTCTTAAAGCACGTTTCGAAAAATGCGAGGGTTTCTTAGTTTTTCTACCCAGCCTTTATTATTTTTAATGAATCAAAACGGCGAATGTCCCCTAATATTCCTTCTATTTCTTTCGCAGCACCAGCTCAGTGGGTGAATTAGGAGGAGAGAGATTGTCCTTGGTGTCTATGGCGGCTTGGTTGTTTGCATGCAGACATGTTTCGTTAACCGACCAGTGTTAGCCGAAGTGACTGGCCCAGCCACCTTTCAAAAACCAAGATTGGGTTCCATGTAGTATTTTCCTCACTGGTGATGGAAAATTGGGACTGCACTATGTAATTAATTGTGCAGTGCTGATTAGCACATTTTCCCCATTTCTATATGCAAGTAGTCCTCCACTTACAACAGTTCGCTTAGTGACCGAAGTTATAACAATACTGAAAAGTGACATATGACCATTTTTCACACTTATGACCATCGCAGCATCACCATGGTCATGTGATTTACATTTGGATGCTTGGTAACTGGTTCATATTTATGATGGTTGCAATGTCCCGGGATCATCTGGTTATCTTCTGACAAGCAAAGTCAGTTGCTTAACAACCCTGATTCACTTAATTACTGGCAAAAAGTCGTAAAATGGGGCAACACTCATTAAACAAATTTCTCACTTAGCAACATAAATTTTGGGCTCAATTGTGGTCGTAAGTTGAGGACTACCTGTAATCCTCACTGACCTAAACTGAGGGCTCTCAGCTTGTTTTGATGGTGACCAGTGATCCCTGCATATCTTAATTAAAAAAACAACTCCATTGCTCTGCTATTCATTTCAGTGCAGCTGCCTTTTTTCCCCATGACAACAGAATAACTACCATGGGATCCTAGTAGATATATCTATGCCTGAACATTGTTTGACTTATAGCAGTGCTTCCCAAACCTTGGTAAATTATCCAAAATTGGGTAAAAGTGTTTTTTTTTCCTTTGGAAAACAGTACAGCAGCCCATTACCCACTCCTAACGGGCAAATTGACTTTTTAAAATTGCAATTTGTTTTGCCTACATTGGGTAAAAAAAAAGCTGATAATTGATTTTGGATAGTAAACAAATTGGGAAACACTGATTTAGATTGACAAGGTATTCTGTCAAACCTCCTCTCTGTGTAGCAGAAGATACTTCTCCAAAGCTACTCTATCCTCCAGATTTAAGAAAATTGTATAATCGTTGAATTATAAAGTTGGATGGAACCAGAAAACCTCTGCAGGATTCAGGAAAATTAAATTAACAAGAGGTGGGACATCCAGTCACATCCAGATGTAGAAAATGCACAATTGTAGGTAAACAGTTCTACTATTGTCCAGATCTTTCTGTAAGGATATTTTTACCCATTTAAATAAAATGTAGGTACCTGGAACGTATATCCATTATTTCTGATGTTAGTTTTTCTGGTAATATTTTCTCTATAGCACACTGATACATCTCGTCCCTCAGTTTTCTTCACATTGAAATTCAATTCCTTTTCAAATTCCAAATTAAGAGCCAGTTTGGTTAAGGTGGTAGACTAAAAATTGGGGGGACTGAGAGTTTTACAGATAGTCCTAGACCTATAGCCTAAGTTGAGATTGGAATTTCTCTCAGTCTCTTAGATGAAAGTGCCTTACAGGGATACTGTGATGGTGAAAATAGGAGGGAGTATTATGCATACTGTCCTGGGTTGCACAAAATGAAATTGGTCTATAAGTCCAATTAATCAACAGGCCTAGGGATTAAAATGTATATCTGAGCCCATACAATGACTATTAATTTGTTACAGGTTAGTGTGTTTATGTTGCTTTTAATTATTGTTAACTGCCCAGAGGCATAAACCTGAGATGAGTGGTCATATAAACTGAAAGAGTGAATGAGTAAATCAATGAATACTCATGAAGAGCCATTAATATAGATTCTCAGAATGTGAGTAGCCAGCTAGTTGTGGACCTATCATATGGAGCTAAATAAACTACACTTTAATGTTCCTAATACTGCCAGTGGATTAAGAAAAAAAATTAGAAAAGGGCTGATTGGGAAAAACAAAGAAAAGCAATAGTCATACATACATAATTCAAAATAAAAAGTAAACTGAATATATGTAGAATTTCGGCAAAGAGTGGCCACAGGATGCTACTTTGACTTTCTTAAATGTATTAGGGCTCCTGGCCAAGACAGATCCCCCACTCCACCCTTTGAGTCAGCGTGTTTCTATTGTCTCAATGAGACCTTCTCCCCATTCACCATGGTCAACCATGGTCTCTGCCATTCATCACTCAAGGAGGAGTATTTGACTTACTGAATTAAAACAGAGATTAGAGTATCAAACATTAACCTTTTTTAATAACATTGTCTCTATAAAATGTTTTTGCAGTTTTTAAAAATGAAAAAGACAAAACATAACCCAGTAGAAAAATATTTAACATTTAAATGCATTGGTAAATGTTTGTAATCACACCTCACCACATAAGAATCAGTACCTTCTACTGAAATGTTAACTTTTAAAACTAGCTTCAGGTCCATATTATAGTATTTACAGACATTCTCAAGACAATATTCCATGCTAAGCACCACAGATGAGAGTATTAAAGGAATCAGAATTCAGAAATTAAGATATGTCTACAACTCATTAGTTCTTGTCATTTATGACAGATACCAGAGTTCTACTAGTGTCCTGCTCATCAAAGATACTTACATTTGACATTGTACCTGTATCACAGACATAAAAGCCTTTTGGGTTTTCCAGTTTTTGAATATATAAATACTCCCCTGTGAAGAAAGGACTATTTGATATTGGAAGGGAACTATTCTTTTACTTATGGAATTTAGATATATTTGTTCTGAAGTACCTAGACTTCTGTAGATAGAAAGTAGGGCAGTGTGGATATATAGCAAAGAACAAAACAAAATCTGTGTGTGTGTGTGTGTGTGTGTGTGTGTGTGTGTGTGTGTGTGTGTGTGTGTGTGTGTGTGTGTGTAAAGAGAAACAACAAAGTACAATTTAAGAGACTTCGGTTGTCTGGAGTACATAAATCATGATTATGCATTTTAAAAGGGAGGAGCGATTTCTACCTATGCATGTAGCTATTATACAATTTCTGATTCTTAGAAAATGTGGGACCAAAATGATTAAGTTCAACAAGTTGCATTGTTCAACAATTTAACTATCTTTACCAAGTAAAGACTTTGAAAAACTGAAATTGTAAGTCACTTTTAGTTCATATCTAATTATATAGCATGCAATTTCTGCCACATTCAGAATAGTTTTCAAAACGGTGGAGCTTCTGTAAACATGAATGTTAAATATCAAACTTCTCAGGTTAGAAAATGGTAACTTTCATGAAAACAGCCTATAAAAAAGCACTTTAGATCCTATTTCAAGTAATAGCGTTTGTTCTTCAAAGCTAAACCCTGTAACAAACTGCTCAAAATCTTGTGCCCAGAATATATTCTGCAAACACATGAACTGTCTTGAATGCCTGCATTCCAGTTTAAGGAATGTACAATTCAACAAAAAGCCATGCGTGTTACCTTCAGGTAGAGATTTAGGCAAGTTCTCTCCAAAATTTTAATTTAAAAATCTAAACTACAGATCTATTTTTTAAATAGGTATAAGAATAAATATTTCCAGCTTTGAGGAAGCTTGAGAGTGTTCCTTTCAAATTGTCAGGCCTAACAACTTGGTGTAGCTTCTATACTATTCTTCCACAAAGGCAGCGGCTGCCATTGGAGATCTCATATTTCCTCTTGCTGAAGAAGTGAATTCTTCTATTTCAGCATTAAGTTTGCTGATGACCCATTCCAATGCTTCACGTCCCTGTGAAGACACACATTCTTTATTGAAACAAGTCCAAGTATCTCAGAGATCATAGTAATTTACAGAAATGAGACTGATCATAAATATTAATTACATTGGTACTACTTTAAAATTTTAGAACCACTAGGTTAAAGGGTGTAAAGCAGGGATGTCAAACTCAAGGCCCTGGGGCCAGTTCCGACCCATGGGGTACTTAGATCTGGTCCTTGGGGCTGCCCTGGAAACAGTGAAAGACCGGGCCACGGTGCTTCTGCCAGTGAAAATGGGCTCCCAAGCTCTGTTTTCAACTGCCATGGCCTCCTGCAACTCTCTGCCAGCAAAAACGGTTTCGCTGGCAGAGGCACTGTGGGCTGGTCCTTCGTTTCCAGGGTGGGCCCATGGGCCAGATCTAAGTACCCTGTGGGCCGGATCTGGTCCCTGAGTTTGACACCCCTGATCTATATGATCAATATTGCTATCTTTTCAATTCGTGTAAACATTGATTAAATGGCTAAAAGTGATATATTATCAAAACAGATTCACAGTAAAAAAAATCTGTTGCAGGATCCAATCTGGGTTGGTCATTGGGATCAGAGGTGTAATCTTCTGAGCTGGAGCCCATCCTTAGGGAACTTCTCTCTCATTAGAACTTCTCTCTCATCACATTCCGGTAGAGAGAGGTTCCCTGAGGATAAGCTCCAGCACGAGTCCAAAAGCTCGAAGACTAAACCTCTGGTCCCGATGATTGACCCAGATTGGTCCTGCAAGATTATCCTGAGACACATATGTTTACTTTCATTTGTGAAAAAAATCTGTGTTAATCCCACAAGTGAATTACTTTTATTTTCCGTACTAACAAATGGAAAAGGAAAAAAAAATCATTCAGGGTATCCTTAAGTTTGAAGTAGGTAATATTCATAAAATATAACACAGCCATTAATAATCTCATATTTTCATTCCATCCCAACTCATCCACTATTATCTGTCTTCTCAAAATAAGTTGGCAATACATACTTTTTTGGCATTAGAAGAAATTGTGTTTTCCATTAGTCCTTCTAAGTAACTGCTGAGACTAACTCCTTTTACACAGATAGTTGCTTCTTGAGTCAAAATAGTTCTATGGAAAAATACAACAATATCAATTTATTTCTCAAACAGTAATCAATAAGTAATTGTTCTTCCTATGTCTATTAAAAACATATTACAACCACCAATCAATTTCCACAGGGATAGAGTGTTCACAAATACATTAAGCTAGTACCGTGTTTCCCCGAAAATAAGACCCTGTCTTATATTTTTTTGAACCCTGAAATAAGCGCTTGGCCTTATTGCCATGTGCTCAAAAGCCCGACTGGGTTTATTATCGGGGGATGTCTTGTCTTATTTTGGGGGAAACAGGGTAGGAAATGGGCAACCAACAATCTCAGAATTGCTTTAAACCCTAAGTTGTGGGTATGCATTTCTGTGTTTGCGTGGATGGCTCTTGGAATTCCTTCTGACAAAGATTATTGAAAAGAGAACTGTTTTCTGCCATAATAATATATAGCACAGATAGTGCTTGACTTATAACCATTTGTTTAATGACTGTTTGAAGTCACAATGGCACTGAAAAATGATTTATGACTGTTTTTCACACTTACAAGAGCCATGGTGACGCAGTGGTTAGAATGCAATATTGCAGGCTAATTCTGCCAACTGCCAGGGGTTTGATTCTGACCGGCACAAGGTTGACTTGGCCTTCCATCTTTCTGTGGGTGGTAAAATGAGGACCCAGATTGTTGGAGACAATGTGCTGACCGTAAACCGCTTAGAGAGGGCTATAAAGCACTATGAAGCGCTATATAAGTCTAAGTGCTATTGCTACAACCATTGCAACATCCACATGGTCACGTAATCAAAATTCAGGTGAATCACTGCACCTGGCATGTACTTCTGATGGTTGCAGTGTTCTGGGGTCATGTGATTTCCTTTTGCGACCTTCTGAAAAGCAGTCAATAGGGAAGCCAGATTTACTTAATAACCATGATACTAACAACAGGTGCAGTGTTTCACTTAAGAATTGTGGCAAGAAAGGTTGCAAAATTGGGCAAAACTCACTTAACAACCGAAATTTTGGACTCAACTGTGGTCTTAAGCCAACTATATGTCTGCATATGCCTCAATATATATGCTACGTATGCCATAATTGAAAAAGAAAGGGAAACATCAAGATATCCTCCGAACACATCCTTATGTTTGAATTTTGGAAATGTGTCTGACCCAATCCTCTGCACAAATGTTAAATGTGGCCTCAGTCACAAAATAGCCAACCCAACAGAAGCATACAACCCGAGGCTCAGGATCACAGATAAATCCTCAAAGCATTATTTAGGCTCACAAGGCCCTCAAAATGAACTAAATGTATGGTTTTTAATATGACCATAAAAGAAAAAAAAATTAAACAATTGGAAATTAATCATAACTAACCATATTTAAGTAGAATGTCATATATAGTTGGGCTGGGATGGCTGCAGCTTTGCACCACACGGTAGCAAAGCCCCAGCTACTGCATGGCCTGCACAAGACATGCCAGGGTCTCCCCCACCCTCTGATGCTCCCCAGCACTCTGCTTAGTGAACAAAGCAGTCATGTGGATGCCTTGACTTATGACCAAAATTCTGGTCCCAATTATAGTTGTAAATCAAGGATTACTTATCAGTGAAAATCATATTTGGGGATAAAATTCCTTTTCAGTATTCACAAATATCAAATAGGTTATTACTGTTGTAAAGTGGCACTTCACATTTGTTTAAGTTTGAATTAATTTACCATAGATTATATCTGTTGCATTTAGTTTTTTATTATTGGTCCAACAATGTTGAGCAGTATTTTTTTTTTTTTTAAATTTGATTTATATGCCGCCCTTCTCCGAAGACTCAGGGCGGCTTACAATGTGCTCAGCATTTTAATTATTTTTAAACAAATACTGTGATTTGCTGAAGTATTTCATACAATAAAGATAAATAGAGGAAAATTCTGAAAATACATTACTTACTTTTCTGGCTCTTGAGGATGTGGTTTATAAATTAGTCTCTCATCTACTGACACCAGATTGGTAAATGAAATCTACAAGAAATTTAATGTAAGTTTCAGCATTAAAAAATAATCCAGTGAACACAATTAACTTGTGAGAGCATAATTTAATAAGCATAGATTACATTGGCTTCCTCAAATACAGATTTCATTGTACTTTCTCATAAGACTACGATACACAAATGCATTATGATCTATAGCTATAATAATAAAGTAATCCATTTCACTTGGGAAGATACCATTTTAGAAAAGATGGTCAATTTTACAAAGTACAAAACAGATATTTCCTGAGAAAAATCTGAAATTCTAAGGACTTCAAAAGGAGAAGCACACAGTATCTTTCTAGTATTCTGCCACCTCTGAAGAGATACTTGGAAGTATGACTTACAGGAATTAAGTCTACTTGAAATGTTTAAGTTCATTTGTGTAATACTTACATTAATAGACTTGAGCTCCATTATTTTCTCAACTGGGTCAACTACAGAGTGCTCTTGAACATAGGTTCTCATTCTACAAGCACCAATAAGCTAGAAGATAAATACAGCATTAGCTGCATTGTGACATAAGCATAGCATCAAAAGCTGAATTACATTATGCTGTTTCGGGGGCATGAAATAAAAGAAGAAACAATCCAGAATTTTTGCACCGAGTTCACCTTCCATAAAGGTTGTTTTAAAATACAAATGGGATTTTCCTGCTTCTCTACCCTGATTTAACTGAACTTCTTTCAAGCCAAGTATGTGCATCAAATGTATACACTACATCCTTAATATTTGTACAAAATTCAATCCTCCATTTACAACTATGACATGCTCTAGATATGTATGTACCCACAATGGAAGAATTTCTGAAAGGAAGACTCAATGGGTCGTGAGTTGTCTAGTATAGATATAAATGCATAGAAAAATATAACATTTCTTTCTCAACTTATAAAACTTTTCTGCATTTAAATTGACATTTGTATAAAATGTCAGTTTTGTATAAAAACTGTCCTTATACTTAGTGTATACTTAGTATTTCTGAGGAAAAAAATGAACAATAAAGCAATTCAACTTGCTGTAACATGCAGTTGTTTATGATGTAACAAGCACAATGGATTCATTCATCAGCTATAAGGAGCTGTTGCACAATCCAATGTACCAGTCACCTTTATTATAAAAAACCCTAAATGAATATGCAATAGTAACTTTCTGTGAGAATTTGGTCTATTCAAATTCTGTACACCACTCGGTTATGGAAATATCCACCTTTTGTATCTTAAGTAACAGAAATTCTAAAGAAAATGTAATGCAATATGCTACAATTGTGGACTATATACTATATTTTGTAAAACCAAAGTCACATGACATACATTCAAAGAGAACTGTTGAAAGCCTTAACTCTTGGTATGGCACTTACTGATTTTACAATGGATGGCATTCCCCATTCTGTACTCAGCAGCCGGTGGCTATGTAATTTTCCATTAGTATCAACATGCCGGTCCAAAACATCAACTCCAACTACGCTGGGATTCATGGGATTGGGGTATTTCTGCATAGCAGCTGTAGTAACAGTCTTCCAGGGGTGACTATAAAGCGAAAACAAAAACACACCTTTCATTAGGCTACATGATGCATGGATGGGCAACCAGCGACTAGTATGTTGTTTGTTCCACATGGGTCAATTTTTTTAAAAAAAATATCAACCCTCCCCAACATAGTCTGACAACAATCCATATGTTTTTTGGTGCATGTGTATATGTTATTAAGCCTCCAGGAAGCTTAAGTATTTTGCTCATAATCATTTCAAAGCAAAATGAAAAATGTTTAAAAGGTGCTTTTTCAAAAGGCAACTGGACAATTTGTGGGCCATATGCAGCCCTGGAGAGCGAGTAATGCAGCCCCGTAAGACAATGAAAAATATTAAAAATAAAGCAAGTTTCTTATTTATATACATTAACTATATATATTATAAGCAGCCCAGGACAATTCCTATTTATTCAATGTGGCCCAGGAACGCCAATGGACAACCATGATCTCAAGGTACATAGTTTCCAGATATTCACGAGGTTCCCCAAAATTTGGACAATTCCCAACCTACTGCTTTTTTGAAGGACCTTAAAGACCTAGCTTTCTCCCAGGCCTTTGGAGAGGCTGACCGATGCCCCTTTCTTCTTGTTCCCCTCTGGGTTTATTTGCTTTGCCATTATTGTTCTTTTGTCTTATGCCATTTTTATGAGGGGTTTTGTATTTTTTTTTTGTTTTTAAATGTTTTTAACAATTGTAAACTCCCAAGAGTTGCTGGGAATTGGGTGGCATATAAATTTAACAATATAATTTCTGGAAAAGGTACGGGGAAGAGTAAAACATTAAGCATTGAAGTTTAATCTTAACAAAAGACTTTGGGAAAATGACAGTTCTCTTCAAATACCTGAAAGGTTCCACAGTTAAGGACTGTCCTTTATTATTCCAGACAGCTGGTCAGGGAATAAAGATCTTAACAGTGGAAGAAAGTTTTTGGTTGAAAGTTTAGAAACAGCTTCATAAGAACAATTTGACACCTGCTGAGGATGGCAGGTTATGCTCAAGCAGAGCCATTTGGCAAGATGCTTTCTTTTGAATTCTAGCACTGGCAAGGGGTTAGTTTTACAGTGGCCTAAAGGAATCCTTTCAAACCTATACACCTACATACACACACACACACACATAAGGTAATACTGTAATTCCCCAGGACAATGCCTTTGTCACAATCACGCTGTAAACAAAAACACAACTGAAAGCTAAATCCTAGCATTCATTGTACTATATAATTCCTGCTTATGAAAAACAGCCAAGCTCATCTCTTCTGCTTTTGCTCCTTTCCCCCCCTCTTTCCCTTTACCAATCACAGCGTTTATAATCAAGCACACTGTACCTTTCATCATTTGTCCTTAAGGCCAGGACAGAGGGAAGGAAAGAGAGAGAGAAAAACTACAGATAGTCCTCAGATTTACACAGTTCATTTAGTAACTGTTCAAAGTTACAACGCCACTGAAAAAGTGCCTTATGACCATTTTTCACACTTATGTCCACTGCAGCAACCCTATGGTCACGTGATCCATATGCTGAATGCTTGGCACTTGGTTCATATTTATGACAGTTGCAGTCTCCCAAGGATCATGTGATCCCCTTTTGGTGGACTTTCTGACAAAGCAATGGGGAGGGGGGGGAAGGAGGAAAGCCAGATTCACTTAACCACCGTGTTACTCACTCAGCAACTACCGCAATTCTCTTAAACCACTGTGGCAAGGAAGGTCATAAAAGCGAAGCAAAATTCGCTTAACAAACAGCGACAGAATCGCTGCTATACCTTAGCCAACAGAAACCTTGCAGGCTCCATTGCAGTCACAAGTCGAGGACCGGCTTGCACTGCTCTCTCCAAAAGAAGCACCCTTTGGGAAAGAGAGGCAGCGAAGGTCGGCAGTTTGGCGGTTCGAATCCCTAGTACAGGTCTCCTGCGTGAGCAGGGGGGTGGACTAGATGACCTCCAAGGTCCCTTCCAACTCTGTAACTGTTTTGCTCAGCCTTCTCGGCCTCCCCAAAGACAGGTGCGGTGTCCCCCCCCCCCAAGGGGAGACCTCCAAGGGGAGACCTCGAGGATGAAAAGGAGCCGAGGGGCTGCACGGCTCCAAGCAGATGATGGGTGCTTTGACGCCGGCGACCCCCCCGTCACCCGGCCTGGGAGGATGATGGGCCCTGTAGTCCTTCGCCCTGGGGGACGCCCGCACCTTCTCCGCCAAGGTCAGCCCTGGAGGATTTCCCCGCGCTGAGAGATATATGGACGAATGAATGAAGGCCGCAGAAGGAGAAGGAGAAGGCTCTCCCCGGGGGTCGAAGGACCGTCCAAGCCTTCATTATTCCCCCGCCCGGAGGGAATGGGAGCCTCCGTTACCCTGGTGACGCCCCCCCTCCCCCCGCGAGGAACCGTCGCTCCTCAGACGCTTCGGCCACTCACTCGAAGGTGTGCTCCGAGGTCCAGATCTTCATCGTGAAGGGCGGCGGTGCTTCCTCGCAACCCTCTGGGGAGACGCCGCCTTCGCCAGCCCGCCGACACCGACCAGGAACTCGCGGCGAGGTAGCGTTGCCGAAGAAGCCGGGCGAGGCGGAGACCCAAAGGCGCCTGCGCGGTTAGCGCGAGGAGCGGCTGCAGAAGAGTGGGTGGGGCCAAGCCTCCGGGAGGCCTCGGATAGGGCGGCTGACTATTGAGGGCCGGTGACGTCAGAACTGAAATCAACGTTCCTTTTTTCCCCCCCCACCCGGCCCGCTGAAGGCCGCCCGACTGCGCCTGCGCGAAAAGGTAACGGTCTGCTTTAAACTTGGGTAGAGCCTCTTGGGGTTGCGGAGAGGGAAGATGTGCGGCGTCCCTTCCTCCCCATCTATGGAGATTCTCAGTCATCCATGTCATGGTTGTCCCAAAGGTGCTTTTTTTAAGAGGCTGGTTTTTGGTTTTTCTTTGAAGACGTTTCCCACCATCTAGTCAGAGCTGAAGAAGCTTCTTGGATGAGAAGCGAAACATCTTTAAAGAAAAAGCAGAAAGTCCAATTGCCTCTTGAAAAAGCATTTTTGGGACTTCCTCCCCATCGTTTCGACTAGACTAGACTACACTAGACTAGACTAGACTAGACTAGAATAGAATAGAATAGAATAGAATAGAATAGAATAGAATAGAATAGAATAGAATAGAATAGAATAGAATAGAATTCTTTATTGGCCAAGTGTGACTGGATACACAAGGAATTTGTCTTGGGTGTATATGCTCTCCGTGTACATAAGGAGAATAAAATACATTCATCAAGAATAAAAAGATACAAAAAAGATAGTCAAGGTTACTAATAAGCTATCAAATCGTACTAGGAAACAAATAAAAACAATATAATTGAAAGATACAAGCAACATGGTTATAGTAATAAGTGGGAAGAAATAGATACTAGTAAGGAAGAGAAGAATAATAGTAATAAAGTCTTAGTAAATTATTTGACAGTGTTGTGGGAATTAATTGTTAAGCAGAGTGATGGTGTTCGGGAAAAAACTGTCCTTGTGTCTAGTTGTTTTGGTGTGCAGTGCCCTATATCGTCGTTTTGAGGATAGTAATTGAAACAATTTATGTCCAGGATGTGAGGGGTCTAGATATTTTCACAGCCCTCTTTTTGAGTCGTGCAGTATACAGGTCCTCAGTGGCAAGCAGGTTGGTAGTAATTATTTTTTCTGCAGTTCTGCCCTTCCATTATCATCGTGGATTGATCATTTAAGTTTCAGGAGAAACAAACTTTGAAGGTAAGATCTCTAGGAGAGCAGGGTTACTTATGGAAGCTATGGATTTGTTTAAGAGGCTGAACAGACACCCCTCATGGCTGATTTGATTTTCTTAAACATTTATTTGTTACATGCGTGTATAAAATGTGTGTATCAATGCATGTATAAAAATGATCACAAATATATTAAAAATCAGTGCTAAAAATTAAATATTATTAAAATGAAAATATATCAACCTCAGGCATGGAGAGAGAGAGTATATCCACCTCAGTAATGCAGTCATCTGACCATATGTCCAGTTCCCTGAGACTCACAGGCCTGATGATATAACCAGGTCTTGAGGATTTCCAGAACATTAGCAGAGATGGAACTCACATAACTTTGGGTAGGGGAAGAATGTTCCACAAGGAGGGTGCCTGAGTTTCGAGGAAACACTGGGACTCGCCAAAATACATCTAACAGATGTAATAGATAATATCATTTTTTAAAATGCTAATAGAGTAATGAAGCCTGACATTCCTGCCCAGCACCTTGAATTGAACCGGGAAGCAAAGCGACAAGCAATTCCCTCAACACTGTCAAACTATTCACTAAGTCTGCATTACTATTAATCTTCTCATCGTTCCTATCACCCCACTTATGACTGTATGAATGTAATCTTGTTGCTGGTATCCTTAAGATTTATATTGACTGTTTTCTAATATGATTTGATTGCTTATTTGTACCCTATGATTATCATTAAGTGTTGTACCTTATGATTCTTGACAAATGTATCTTTTCTTTTCTGTACACTGAGAGCGTATGCACCAAGACAAATTCCTTGTGTGTCCAATCACACTTGGCCAATAAAGAATTCTATTCTATTCTATTCTATTCTATTCTATTCTATTCTATTCTATTCTATTCTATTCCCAGTCTTACATTTCCATGCTGCCTTACTACCAAAGGCTGACATTCTCAATATGCTTTCTCCTGGAACCATGTTTTTACTATTATTTTTAATGGAAACTCTCTAAGGAAGAAGTAATTCTTATACATGAGGGTAAACTTTCATGAGAGGAAATTTTTATGAAAGTTTTTCATAATTGTAGTCTTGCCTATCTGAAAATACTAAACTGGGAAAATCTATTCTTAATGAACCAAAACTAAGCTTGCAATATACAATTTCCTGATGTAATTTACCACCCATGGGTGCAACAGGCAAAATATTTGTAATTCTCTACCATTGTGAAATTGCAAATAGTTCCTCATATCAGCTTCTATGATTTCTTTAGTCACCTTAATGAGGGTTGCCTCAGCCTAAAGTTAGTGTTTCAGAATGAAAGTTCCTGCCATTGATGTTGCATTTCCTGTAAGAAATTGAAAACCTTCGCCACTTAACTGCTTTTTAAATTATATCTCAAAACAAAACAAGGTATGGCATTAATCCACCAAGACTTCAAACTGTATCTTCTCCCACCACATGTAGTTTAAAAAAAAATAATTTTATCAGAGCAACACAAATACAAAGAGAAAAGACTAATACAAAGTAAGGAAAATGTGAAAAATGGAGGAAAGAAAAAGAGAAGTGCAAAGAGATAGGAAAAAAAGCAAATAAAAGAAAAATAATATATAAAAAGATAATTTCCCCCCTCCCTCCAGACCAGTATAAACTGGAGCTATGCAGCCCTCCTTGGCACATGGTGGCTGACCTTTCATCCATTCCAAAATCTTTGGCATTGCAGGCACCAATCTTAACATTGTTAGAGATAATGTTCTTCCTGGCCAGATGGGGTGCAGCTAGGGCCAAAGGAGAACTTATTCATGGAAATCTGGTTTTATTATAATCTTCGTTGAAAGATAATATTACTGCAAAACATTTATTTTTGTTGTAGCAGACTAATTGCTTTAGGGATGATTAGAGTTGTGGAATGTTTCTTAAGGAATTGCCCAGAGGAATTGGGTTTCCTTTGGATGTTTTGATTTATAGAGCCCCATTCCTCAGAGAGTTCTCATAGCGAAATTGAGCCACAAAAGCATTCTTTTCAATTAAGCTTGCTTTTTTTTCTGACCAAGGTATCACTTGAGTCTTGTAAATTGGGAAAATGGGGCTGCGTCTTGGTATAATTACAGAATATCTCTGCTGCCTCAAGGCAGTTGTAGCCATCCAAAAGAAATAGACCTTGTGCACCCTGGAATCATGTGAACAAATTTCAAGGCTGAGTAATGAGACAGAATATCCAAAGGCAGCAGGATATTTTTCTCACCTAGGAGGAAGATTTTTTTTGCATTGTGAGCAACACTAAGGAATTGCTACAATCACTATTCAGAAACATGTGCTCATCTTGCTTGTTAAAGGAAACACAATCTGACTAAAGCAGACTAATACAATTACATCCGAGGAAACTAAAGATTCAAAATCTAAATTTTGCTGTTAAGTCACATTTCTTATGTGCTATGAGATGTTCTATACCTGCTGATCTTTTGTGTAATTCCTTTGCTTGGATTTGAACTTTGGATGGACAATAGTAATTCTCTCCAAGTGAGTAAGCTATTTGATATCAGTGTTACTTACAGAATAGGTAACTCACACATTCTTCAACATCAGTTTAGTGTACAAGAGAACATACTTTAATAGGATCACCTTAGCCTGGCTTTTCCCCCCACAAAGGAATTGGATGTTTTATACATGATAAAGACTGATTTGATAAAGGAACTATTGTGTCTCTGGGAGAGGCTCTCTGTTAAAGGAAATCAATGAGGAACTTTGTTTGCACGCCCAATTTTTCAGAAGCAGAGCAATTAATTTTTCTTCTTCTATAAGACCTAAATTATACAGCTCAACAAAATTTGGATCCAATTCAAGGAATAATTTTCATTTTGAAGAACTGAAAGTAATGGCAGATTAACTCAAGATAACTGTTCTAGAGGAACGGGGTTGAGAAGGGACAGAAGCTGGATTCCTTTATGACAAGCCATGGTTGCCAACCTTTTGCTTAGTGAGATACGGAGTCCACATCACAAAGACATGGTTTAGTAGCCCCAAAAACCCACACTTAGTCTGTAGGTGAGCAATTGTATACCTTGCCAAAATATTTGCTTGTCGGATGAGGATTTTCTGTTGAGGGGTTTTGGTCTTGTGAATATCAGTTTTTTCAAGCAAATGGAATGTTGGAAATAGATTACCTCAAGCGACCTGGGACTTTATCTGTCCAAAAGCAGAATAAGTCTCTGAAAGACAGCAAAATTGGACCAAATCTGGTGTGAAAAGAAAGGCAACTAAAAGAAAGCTGATTTTTTTTTTTTTAAAAAAATGGCCCTGATCAAGCCAGGGGAGGCAGGAAAAAACATTCTTGAAAAAAATTATGTAATCTATGCCGTTGAGAATAATAAGAACTTTATTGTCATTGTACGTGTATACACAGTATACCCATACAATGAAATTCACTTAACACCCAAAGACCAGGTCCAACACACTTAACAATCCCCAAACACACTACAATCTACCACAATTCTCCACCCCTAAATCACCCAAGAAGAGGCTTGGAATGCTCCCATTTCCTAAATTCTGGACCTCATCCCCTCTTCTTTAATGATCACAGCTGCAGAATAGAGCATATTCAGCCTACTTCATATGTCCCAGTGCACATAGACAAAAGGCACAAATAGAAGGGAAAGCAGAAACAACAATAGAAGAATATAGATGCCTCCTATTTACCCACTGCTAGTAAAAGTGTGGGAAAGCATTCTAGTAGCTATGTTCACCATTTCCTACTCAACATGTTCACATATATCCCCAAAGCCTTAAAACTGCTTTAGTTACAGGTTTTAATGGTTTGTTTAACTGTGCCTTATTTAACAAGCTATAATTATTTAGGTTTACACAATAACAGTGTAAAGTATTGTAGTGATAGCAGTGTTCCAATATCTAAGGTGCTGCCACAAAGAAAAAATGGGGGGGGGGTGTCAACCTATTTTCCAAAACACCTGAAGGCAGGACAAGAAGCAATGGATGGAAACTAATCAAGGAGAGAAGCAACCTAGAACTAAGGAGAAATTTCCTGACAGTGAGAACAATTAATCAGTGGAATGACTTGCCTCTAGAAGTTGTGGGTGCTCCAAAACTGGGAATTTTTAAGAAGACTTTGGACAACCATTTGTCTTAAATGGTATACTATAGGTCTCCTGCTTGAGTAGAGGGTTGGACTAGAAGATCTTCAAAGTCCCTCCCAACTCTGTTATTCTGTTAATATGCTAAACCATAAATCATGATATATATAAATACTAAAATCTGGGCTTAACAATCAAAATAACTAGATAAGCAAGGTACATAATGGCTTGATTTAATACATTTGGTAAACCAAAACTTATTATGTTGCAATCATAATTAGATATCAAGTAGAAACTACTTAGTAGCACTATAGTGGCTTAAGATATTTTTCCTTGATTATGTTTTCGAGTTTTCGAGTCAAACAGTATATGGTGTATTTATAATTAGAGCATCCTCAAAATATTCAGAAAAAAGATAAAATTCAGTTTGAGACGCCAACAAGTAAATATAATACTATTTTTATTAGTTTTGATATTTTACAACTTTTATTTTTAAGGCAAGATTTTTATCAGCTTTAATGCCTACACAGATCTGACAGAAGGCTATCAAAAAAAGGAAAAGAAAGGTATTTTTCCTGGTGAAGGTTAGTAGTTTCTGTTTACTCCACACTTTTCAGAATATTACTACTACCTATATTTTCAAAGAGGTAAACGGTCAATTGGTTCTCTTACTCAAAGATGTTATGAACCAAAGAACATAACCTCTAGATCTATACCATCTGTCCAATTGCTATTGCCTTGTGAGTCATGTTTTATTTTTAAAAGAATACATTTGTTTTCTTTATTACATTAATGACTAATACCCTCATTTTACAAATCCAGTTAATATGCAATATTATTGCCATTAGTAGCAAGAAGTCATTTAAATAAGAATGTGAGAAAGACATTTACAATAGTGATTCAACAGCTGTCTATTACAGCAAACAGCAAGTCATCTAACAGCAAGTCATCTAAAGAGATACAAGAGAGATTTGCGAAGAAAATGAGCTAAGAGCCTTTAGGAGATGCCATAAACATTTGCTTTTCTACTTCACTGTAGACAGGTGGCAAAATTCTTCTTGACTTTGTCTTAACCCATGGGTGCTCCATTATTCCTTCAAGAGAAAGTCTGAGAGAAGGTGTACGGTTAAGGACTTTAGCAATTAGATCCTTGGCTCCCTCTGATATCCAAGGAGGAAATTTGAAATTCACCTTAAAATAATTTTTTTTTAAAGTTAGATTTTGTTATGAAAACAACTATATTGTGCAAAGTTTAACTGGACCACAATCTCGATTTATCTGCTTCTCCAACTGATCTATTTTTCCCCCCTGTTTCACTGACACACAATGTTGTTGCTGCTGCTTCTCCTGGTACAAGCCTTTTCTGCTTATTGTATGGCAAAGGTGTGTAATAACCATCAGTTCAAGGACTACATGAGGCTTTATGTGGCATGTTGATAGCCACTCTCTATTTGTGGATGCAACCAGGGGCCCTTTGCAAATTTCATAGGGTAAGATACTGTATTTTTCAGAGTATAAAACGCTCCGGACTATAAGACGCACCTACCTTTTTTGGGGAGGAAAACAAGAAAAAAAAAATCTGCCTCTGCCTCCCAGCAATTTGCCTCCTTGCAGCAAATAGCAAACAGCCTGCTTTAGTTTCATTTTCAGCATAGCCAGATTAGCACAAGAAAAAAAAAACTGCCTCCCAGCAATTTGCCTCCTTGCAGCAAACAGCGGAGGCCCACCTGGCAATAGGCAATGGCAATCCCTGCAGTCTGAAACAGCTGAGGGTCGGGAGGCCGATCCAACGAACAATCAACTGTTTGTGCTAATCAGGCTGTGCTGAAGCTGAAATGGGTTGTTTGCTGCTTGCTGCAAGGAGGTAAATTGCTGGGAGGCAGAGGCCAAAGAGGGGGGGCCAGCGGGTGGGCAGGGCTACATTTGGTATATAAGACGCACCCAAATTTTCACCCTCTTTTAGAGAGAAAAAAGGTGTGTTTTATACTCTGAAAAATACAGTAATTGCCACATTTCCTGTTAAATCCACCAGCCTTTATCAATACAAAAGGGGGTCCATATTTTTGATCCAACCTTCTCTGAAGACCACAAAAGGGATATTACACCAAGTCACATGTAACTTTTTTAGATCATTTTTTTTTTGCACTTTTATTGTAAACCAATAGAAGATATTTTTTTTAGCTCAGGTTTGAACAGTGGGGCCCTTGGTGCTCTCTGAGTTTGGTAACTTTCTTGCAGGTGTCTCATGACCAAACCAGGTAACATTTTCAGTGTTAGCACTGATGATGTTACTTAATTTGGTTGTGAAAACATCTTATTGTAAAGTTTCCTAAATTCTTTCTGGGATTTTTGTCATATGAACAGAAGAAGGTATGTGTGAGTTCCTCCTGTTCTCTCCAATGTAATCCTCTGAATTTTGGCATACATTCATGAATACACACAACATCTGGCCATGAGTTTCCAGTGACTGTTGTAAGCACTACCTCACTTACAGGCCTTTGGTTTGGAAGAACGTACCTCCTTTATTCGTCTGAATGTCTCCATGCGAGTGGGTGCTTCAAAAGGTGCAAATCCTGCAAGACACTCATAACAAAGAATGCCAACACACCACACATCAACATTTTCATCATGGGGACTCCCCTCTATCATTTCTGGAGCAAGATAATCTGGGGTGCCGCATAGTGTTGTCCTCCTATTTAAAAACAAAAGAAAAACAAAGGAAAAAATACAGTGTTCAAATGACCGCATTTATGATTTCTTTTCAGTCACCATTTAGTAAGATCCAAGTGAAATCAGAGATTTGGTGAAGCCTGGGGGAAAAAATCCAGATAACTGGTCATTTCTTTACCCACAGAAAAGGCCAAAGGTTAGCAATACTGTATTTTGCACATATAAATGCCATTTGATCTGGAAACTCTGCTCTAGAAGCCTTACCATGACTGGGGAAATATTTTGACAAGAACATTTTAATTAATACAATTATTTTATCCTACAGGCCAGTTAACAGCATTTTAATACAGCATGCTACAGAAACAGCAAGGCACCCCGAACCAGAGCCAAGCAGCTTGAACAAATCAGTTAACTATTTTCCACACAGAACGCCTGTTCACTTAGTCAGAATTATTAAGGCCAGATAGAGTGGAGTTCAAAAACATCCCTGGAGAAAACAATAGCTACTTCCATACTATTACAATGAAAACAACACGGATGTGTCAGTGGTGGGATTCAAACATTTTTGCTACCGGTTTGGTGGGTGTGGCTAGGTGGGGAGCATGTGACTGAGTGGGTGTGGCCAACTTGATGTCACTCCCATGCCCACTCAGTCACATGATCCTCCCACCTAGTCATGCCCACAGGAAAAGGTAGGAAAATTTTTGGAATTTCCACCTATTTACCCCCACCCTCCCTTTGCCAGTCACTCCCATTTCCCCCCCTTTAGCAGCCCCGGCCCTAGCCCTGCTTCCTACCTCACCACCGCCTCTTTGTTCGGGCTGCTTACCTTCCATGGCTGCTGGTCCAGAGTCCAGAAGGCAAGCAGATTGGAGTTTTCTGCGGCCCCCAGCCAGCCACCACTGCTGGAAAGCAGCTGGCAAAGAAGGCTGCAGGCCGCCGAAAAGTACCAGAGGTTGTGGAAAAAGCTGCTGCCGTCACCACCATGTTCTTTGTGCATGCGCATCCCATTGGATTTGCAAGGCAATGGGATATGCATGCGCGAAGAACATGGTGACAAACATGGTGGGTGGGGCGAGTTAGTGGTGACTGGAGTACCGGTTCGGGGGTGTGGCCAGCCAGTCATCGTTACCGGTTGGGCGACCTTGGCCAAATTTCCGCCAACAGTTTGTGCGAACCGGCTGAATACCACCTCTGGGATGTGTCCATGTAGCCACCAAAAAATACAACTTGAATTGTGGGAGACCAGGTGGATGACTGTCCACAGGACATCTGTTGGCAACAAGGAACTGTTGGCTCTATCTCTTGTTGGCTCATCATATTGGGATGGAGGAAAGGAAGGCAAAACATGGTCTTGGACATTGATCCAAATGCATGGATAAAGTAAAGAAAGAAACAGGTTTGAACATTCTTAATTGGATTATAATTTGTCATATGCAACACACTCATATTTTAAATAAAATTGGGTTTATTTAGCCTTGCACAGAGCTGATAGTTTAAAAGATCATCTATGAGAGAATTTGAAATGCTCTCCTAGTCCCAAATTCACCATGCAGACTTTCGCTTAGAGGCCATTTCTCCTATTCGTTTTTTCTTTATAAAGAAATGCAAGCGACCTACCTTAGTGAAGGAGTATGCACTGACCATCCAAAATCTGCCAACTTCAGCTCCCCTCTTAATCCTAAAAGGAGATTTTCAGGCTTGATATCTCTGTGGATCACTTTCCGAGCATGGCAGTACATCAGAGCATCAGATATTTCTTCAATGTACTGTTTTGGTACATCATCGTGTGTTAAAATATAGCAGGAAGTTAATCTCAGATCTGGATTTCCAGCCCATTAGCTATAATATTCTATAGATAAATAGACTAGACTAGACTAGACTAGACTAAACTAGAATAGAATAGAATAGAATAACAGAGTTGGAAGGGACCTTGAAGGTCTTCTAGTCCAACCCCCTGCTTAGGCAGGAAACTCTACACCACTTCAGACAAATGGCCATCCAACATCTTAAAAACTTCCAGTGTTGGAGCACCCACAACTTCTGCAGGCAAATTGTTCCACTGATTAATTGTTCTAACTGTCAGGAAATTTCTCCTTAGTTCTAAATTGCTTCTCTCCTTGATTAGTTTCTACCCATTGCTTCTTGTCGTACCCTCAGGTGCTTTGGAGAATAGCTTGATTCCCTCTTCTTTGTGGCAACCCCTGAGATATTGGAAGACTGCTATCATGTCTCCCCTAGTCCTTCTTTTCATTAAACTAGACATACCCAGTTCCTGCAGCCATTCTTCATATGTTTTGGCCTCCAGTCCCCTAATCATCTTTGTTGCTCTTCTCTGCACTCTTTCTAGAGTCTCCACATCTTTTTTACATCATGGCGGCCAAAACTGAATGCAGTATTCCAAGTGTGGCCTTACCAAGGCATTATAAAGTGATATTAACACTTCACGTGATCTTGATTCTATCCCTCTGTTTATGCAGCCTAGAACTGTGTTGGCTTTTTTGGCAGCTGCTGCACACTGCTGGCTCATATTTAAGTGATTGTCCACTAGGACTCCAATATCTTTACACTAAGGAGTTTTCTTCCCATGAGTGCATGCTACCCAGCCCCAGCCCCCATAGCTGACTCAAAAGCATACAATGATCGATGGTATTGAAGGCTAGTGAGAGATCAAGGAGACCAAGGATGGTTGCACTATCCCCCCATCCCACTCTCGATTACCCAATTCTGCAATCATTGGAATGACTGTAATTAATCCAATTATGTATGTATAGATTTTAACACGTTCAGTGCTTTTCTTATACCTTGGTTCCGACAAAATATATTCGTCTAACAGGGTTGCGGTACTTACAGTGGCTGTTCTATTGTCGTCAAATCGTTGGTTTTTTTGTAACTCCTTGTACAGCTCTCCCCCTGGAGCATATTCCAGCATCAGAAAAATCCGTGTCCGATCATGAAAGTAGTTATACATTCTTAAAATGTTTGGATGTCTAGAGAGAGCATTGGGAGCGGGGAGGGGGAAGAAAGGTACAAACTGACTTTGGAAAGGAAAGTTGATAAGACACTCCTGTCCCAAGGATAGCCGACAAAGGTTAGGGGATGATCTGTCCACTCCCAATTCAAGGAAAGGGACAAACTACTTTTATATTTATTATATTTATAATTGGATTTATATACCGCCCTACTCCCGAAGGACTCAGGGCGGTGAACAGCCAAAAGATAAAATATACATAATACAAACTTTAAAAACAATATAAAACACATTAAATAATTTGGCCCAAATTAAAACATCCCTATTATTTTAAAACAAATTTAAAATTAATAGTTAAAAGGAGGTTAGGCCAGGCCAGCCTGTTGAAATAAGAAGGTCTTGAGGGCACGGCGGAAAGTGTGCAAATCCGGGATCCTCCGTATCTCCAGGGGGAGCTCGTTCCAAATGGCAGGTGCCTCCACAAAGAAGGCTCTCCCCCTGGGAGCCGCCAGTCGACACTGTTTGACCGACAGCACCTTGAGGAGCCCCTCTCTATGGGAGCGTACTGGCCGGTAAGAGGCTACTGTTGGCAGAAGGCGGTCTCGTAGGTACCCCGGTCCTAAGCCATGGAGCGCTCTAAAGGTGGTAACCAAAACCTTGAAGTGCACCCGGAAGACCACCAGGAGTCAGTGCAGGTCACGCAGGAGAGGTGTTACAAGAGAATGCCACGTCGCTCCCGTAACCACCTGCGCGGCTGTATTCTGGACCAGTTGGAGCCTCCGGGTGCTTCTCAAGGAGCCCCATGTAGAGAGCATTACAGTAGTCCAGGTGGGAAGTGACGAGGGCATGAGTGACTGTGCATAAGGAGGTTTCACTTTAAAAGACTATATATAATAATAATAACAACAACAATAACTTTATTGTCATTGTACGTGTATACACAGTATACCCATACAATGAAATTCACTTAACACCCAAAGACCAGGTCCAACACACATAACAATCCCCAAATACTCCCACCACCACCACAAATTCCCCACCCTTAAACCACCCAAACATCCACACAACAGACCAAGTAATGCTGTCCAACAGCTCACTGACAGTGGCCCTTTAGTTCATTGTTGAATGCAATTATAGCTCTGGGATAAAAACTATTCAGAAAATGTGTGGTCCGAGTTTTAATTGTTCTGTATCTTCTGCCAGAAGGCAACAGTCCAAAAAGATTGTAAGCAGGATGGGAAGAGTCTCTGAGAATGATATTCTAACAGGGATGTGTAATAGCACAGAAGGCTCTTCGCCTGGACCCGCACCTTCCAGAATATCCTGGCCAATGGGGCCTGCATGAATCTGGAATCTGCATTAGGGTCATGCAGTATAATTTTTAAAGGAAGTTTTGCCTTCAAAGCTTGAGTTGAAGCCGCTAAGTGGCACTTCACTTCAGAGCAGCTTCACTGCTTTGTTCTGAATACTCATGGAAGCTTTCGTGCTGAAACAAAGTAGTGGTAGAATGAAGAAATCATCCAGATCTTGAGGCAATGTCAAAACTATTCTGCACAGATCTTAATGTGTATCTTTTCAACGTTTGGGAATACGGACTATCTTGCTCCAAAGGGATGATGAGCAGTGGATTTTGGCTGTATGCTAAAACATTATGCTGTGCCTATGTTTATATTTCAAGTAACTGTCTCTAAACCCATATTTTCCAATCCTCTAGTTCCAAAGGATAGAGCTAAAGGGGCAACAGGACAAGGATAACTCCATCCAACTAAGAGCTCAACATTCATCCCATGCCATTCCAGCTGGGTTACCTGAGGTGACTTAGGATTTCTATCTCTCTTCGAAGCTGATGTTCCAGCTGAGCTTTCTCCAAGACAGACTTGAACATGACTTTTAAAGCCAAGATGAAGTGGGTCTTTTTCTCTCTGGCCAAGTAGACTGCTCCAAATCTCCCTTTCCCGAGAGGTTTGCCGAATTCAAAGTCTCCTGTGTCCCATTCTTTCCTGTAAATATGAAAACTAATAATGCTTTCTTTACCAACCAGACCAATATGATCAACCCTGGCAAGGGGTGGTCCTCACATTTCTATTAACTATCTACCTTACTGATCTTTTTTTTCATCATAGTTTGAGTTAGTTTTCATATTTATAGACTCCAAGAGTTAGAAGGAAACTAAGCGGTCATGAAGTCCAACTCCCTGCACACTATGCTGTACCTGTCAGATGATTATTCCGCCTCTGGTTGAAAACCTCCATTGAAGATGAAGGAACTATTCTGTGTGGGTAACCTGTTGCACAAGTGATAGTTCTTACTATGAAGAAGGTTTTCCAAATGTCTTATATGTTTCTACATGTTTAAAGGGTCCCCCCCCCATTGATTTGAATCTCAGCTTCTGGAACAAAGAATAAATCTGGACCCTCTACCATATAATAGCTATGACATATCTGAAGAGGTTATTATGTCCCCTTTCAACCTTCTTCAAGCTAAACCTATCTAGGTCTTTCAACCATCCCTTCTAGAACTTAGTTTCCAATCTTTTCATCATCTTGGCAGTCTTTCTCTGGACTTTGATTGCAGAATGGCAGTGGGCAAACTGATCAAGATGGAACTATGGAATCATTATATGGAGGAGATCAGACATAATTATTAACTATATTTATTAGTTGCCTTATGGGTAAAATGATGAGATATAAAGTGAAATTGTATTTCATTTTACATATTTTCACCTGAACAGTTTCAAGATAAGATACATTTGTATCTATTTATAATTTTCCTAGAGTTTTTTTTTTTTAAATAAGAAACATGAGATATTCTAGGGAGGTTGTACTTGTTCTAGGGAATCTTGGGAGTTGAAATCTATAAATCGTGGTGTTGCCAAGGTTGAGAAACACTGATATAGTAGATGAACAGTAGCTTACAATATGGTGTTATCAAAAACACACTGTGATAGTAAGGCAAATAAGTGAGGAAATGGCCTAAGTAAACCTTATTATGGTGATGGACCAATAATAAAAAGGCATGGGCACTCCAAATAATATGATGTGGTTTAACTGTGGACCAAATGCAGTGGTGAAATTCAAATTTTGTTTACTACCAGTTCTGTGGATGTGGCTTGGTGAGCGTGGCTTGGTGGGCGTGGCAGGGGAAGGATACTGTAAAATCTCCATTCCCTCCCCACTCCTGGGGGAAGGATATTGCAAAATCTCCATTCCCACCCCACTCTGGGAGCAGCCAGAGGTGGTATTTGCTGGTTCTCTGAACTACTCAAAATTTCCACTATCGATTCTCCATACTCAAAATTTCTGCTACCAGTTCTCCAGAACCTGTCAGAACCTGCTGGATTTCACCCCTGGCCAAATGGAATACTGAATATGAAGCAGTCTGAAAAAGAACAGTTTTGAAAGGAACCAATTGATCTGCAAAGAAACAATTGATACCTCAAGAATGAAGAGTAAGCATAAAACGTCTGTGCTATACAGAGATACATTTTCCAGTCAGAAAGCAAACCTCTAAAATATGGAGGCTCCTTTATGCAACACTTGTTTTCCTATCAGCAGAGTTCCTTAATAGTTACCTGGGAAGTTGAGAATCAGGGGCAGAGCTGGTGGTTGCTTTGGATTCACTTTTCTCCCCTGCCAAACAAATTTGCATGGATTTAGGGACAAAGCAATCTTTATTATCTAAAAAGCTTTTGCTTTTAACAGTCAGTAATTATATTAGAGGTCTACTTTGGTTCCAGTCAAAAGCCTTTCTGCTTTAGCATTCCCTAACCTCAGTAACTACAGATTGGCAGGATAATTCCTCAAATATATGACAGTATCACTTGCTTATGATGTCCAAGACCAGTGACTATGATCATAGTCCTCATGATAATTGATAGCTGCATATTCCCCATAGCTTTACTAGTCCTCCTTTAAAGCTCATAGCTAGGTAGCTATTAGTATCTCTATTCTGAATTATCATTCATTCAATTTCACTGAATAGTTATTTATTCTAGTATTAAGAGGAAGTGTGTATGTGTAGTGCTGCATATTTTTTATGCGTTAGGATGAAGAGAACTGCAAGAGTATAAGAATATGATTGAACTTCGTGAGATAGAGATCAAATACCAAAATAAAAGATCAATACATTGAAATGGAGGGCAGATGAGAAGAAGACAGTGTGAAAAAATATAAAAGAAGGAAACAAAAAGGACAGAGACTAATTTTAAGATTTGCATAACTATTGCTCAAGAGATAACCCATATATTTTCTTTCCAATAAGTACAAAAAAAAATCAAAGTTATTGTAGGCAGTTATTACTTCATAAGATGGACTACTTATTAGTATACTTAAATACAATAAATTACCCAGATCTGATTAAATTGTCACATGACACCTATAGTAACATACCCATTGGTTCTTCTTTGTCTTTTAGGAGATTCTTGAATTCTGGAGAAAAATCCTCTCTGAAACCTACAAATGGAGAAAGAAAAACTACTGAGCTGCATGTGTCTATGGAGCTTCTCAGTCATCCAGGTCATGATTGTCCCAAAGGTGCTTTTTCAAGAGGCAACTGGTTTTTCTTTGAAGATGTTTCTACTCTGACTGGATGGGGGGGAATGGAAGGATTTATGAAAAAATTAATAAATCCATCCATTCCCCACCATCCAGTCAGAGCTGAAGAAGCTTCTTGAATGAGAAGCGAAACGTTTTCAAAGAAAAACCAGAAAGTCCAGTTGCCTCTTGAAAAAGTACCTTTGGGACCAACTGAGCTGCTTCTTCAAAGTTCTTCGTTGCACAGCAGAACGAGTGGTATAGTAGCACATGGCTGGGCAAGCATTTATATAACCATAACCACCTAATAGTTGACAACAAGAACTTTAGCAGTTCATCACCAGGGAAAGAAGAAAAACAAAATCTGAAGAATCAAAAATATAGATTTTATTTAAGTTTAGTTGCAGAAAGTAAAAAGAAGATGTAAAGAGTCTAAAATGCACCCCTGTTCAAAACACTACAATTTGGGGTCCAAAGTTTGTAAATAGGCAAGGAAAATTTCATTTGCAACTCCCAATCCCCCCCCCCTTTTTCATTTTCTTATGAATACCTGCTTCAGATATTATTTTGGAGTCCATATTAAAACTAATTTGATGGATTGGTAATTGGAGATTTGCATTTATTACTAGAAAATAATGAAAAAAATAGTTTTTGTGTACGTTCTATTTATTTTTAACATCAATTCTGCCAAATCCACAGAGTCCTAACACTATTCAAAATATATATATATATATATAAATTATTGAAATGATACTGTAAAAGCTTTATAGCTTATTATTAGAAATACATGAATTACCCTGGATTTGTGTCAGTACCCTGCATGGATGTTAGTGGGATGCATGCACAGGGTTATGTTGGCTTGCAAGCTAGTTACTCCATTGTAAAGGTCCTCATTTGCATTGAGGGCCATGCTTGAACCAAAACTGCCTTTTGATTGTGCAGGAAGTTCTATATGAAAAAGTAGAAATCATTAATCTCTCCACTGTATGGAAAATAGATATAAGAAAATAGGGTAGGGAAACTGCTTGGAAGATAGAGAAGAATTGTGTTATACTGCACTAACATTAGTTTAGCTAAGGATGGCATAAGCCTATCTTAACTCAGATGGATATGAAATCATGGAGATCACAGCAGAAAAATGTTACTAGGACAACACAATGGTGTTGAAATTAAGCACAAACAGGAAAAGACTAATCAGAGCAACTTTAATGGTTGCAACTAAATTGCTGTGTTGAAAATTATGACAGAATTTTGGTCTTTTTGATTAGTAGAACCCATGGATTTTAAAGTGGTTGGCGTCTAAACACACATCAGAATCCCAGCTTTTATGCTACATGAAAATGATGGTGCCGATTTGAAACGTACAATGCTGGAATCAGATATTGCCCTCAGCCATAATTTACTGACTGTTGACCAATGATCTGGGCTTAATATAACACACTTAGCATAACTGGCTAGCGTGAGAAGTTTTATATCCAAATATGTTCTTTATACTATTTCCATCTTCCCTTAAAACGTTAACAGAACCCACAATGGTGTGAGAATCAGTATCTCCACTAGATAATCGACAGTCAAGCTGAAACTAAGTTAATCAAGTAAAATTAGCAAACCCCCAAATAAGTTACCCAGACCTAATCCACATATCAAAGGATAAGGTCTGCAAACAGTTAATTAAACCAGGTCTCCCAGAATAACTGCATGTTCACAAGAATAAACATATCTACCTACCTACCTACACATGCACACACACACACCAAGTGTCACCCTAGAATCAGCATGTAGACACTTTACCCTGGACAAGCTCCACCCTATAAAAATCTTCTGCTGTACCCCATTTCTCTGCAGCCTTCCCCTAAAGGCAAATTGTTTTGCTTTTAGGACTAAACATTATTTTCTCATAGATATCTGGATCTCATTTATATTTATTCTTGTGCAGCTCCAGCTCGAGTTGGAACCCCAGATTATTCTTCCGACACTAGTTTACCCATTGTGCTAACTCACACCAAACAAACCATTATGCTACCTCACACCAAACAAATTTGTGTCAATACTCTGACACAAATTTAGCACGTGTGACGCCAGTTGTAAAGCAATTAGGGTACAAACACATTCATTTCTCTGCTACTCTTATCTCTGAACACACGGGGTGACGTTCCCCAAAAAACGGGGGCTTCTCTGACTTACTATAAAAAGATACAGTCCATTAGAATTATTCAAACAAAAACACAGGAAATACTATACACTATATTAATGTTAAGTTTCATACGATCGCACGCCTTGGGAGCCAGTTCGTTCTAGTGGTTAAGGCGCCAGGCTAGAAAGCAGGAGATGGTGAGTTCAAGTCCTTTGCCATGAAAGCCAGCTGGATGACTTTGGGCTAGTTGCGCTCTCTCAGTCCAATTCACCTCACAGGGTTGTTGTGGGGAAAATAGGAAGGGAAAGATGTGTTTGACTATGTTTGCTGCCTTGAGTTATTTGTAAAGATAATAAAGTTGGGATCAGGGTGGATTTGATTTAAATTGAGTTGATTTAAATCACAATTTAAATCATGATTTAAATCACTAGTAAAAAGGCTTGATTTAAATCAACTTGATTTAAATCATAATTT